CTAAAACTCATACTGACGCATTTTTTGATGCGAATTCAACGCTGTAATCCGTTTGTCCGCGCACTTCCTCGTTCTGGAGATATGAGCCTTACAAGGTGGTGAGCTGGCACTCCTCTGGGCAGCCTTCCTGGTTCTCGGCTTTCAGCGGCTAGTTTTGTCTGTACTTTTGGTCAAACCTGCTTTCGTGCTCTGCGAGAACGATGGTAATTTTTTTAGGATTATACGATCATCGGTACTGGCGCTGTAGCGCATTATTTATGCGTTTTTAGCGTTACGCTTTTTTGGGTGCTAGCATACACTCATCTGGTACTCTACTGCTCTGTAAAGTGGTGAGGATATGCATTATTCATGCCCCAAGGTACTCCAGCTCTTAGATCTGGGATACCTGCACAGGATATTGTGTACAGGGCAATTTACAGCCGCTTTTTTCCTGTTTTGCAATGGTCCTCACTACAATAGTACCAGCCCTCTGGGCTATCTGATATGCGGGAGTACAAACTTCCTGTTCTATGCGAGCTTATTGGTGTACCCAGTATCAGGCCGCCGTGGGAAATGCGTACACTGCGGCTAGTTTCCTTCTGCACCTCCTCCTCCTTTCTCAAATCTGGTACTTGTATGTCTCTCTGGACCCCTGGGAGTGTGCTCAAGGACTCAGGGGACTGGCTATACTTACTCTGAGCAGGTCTACCGGCTTATACATGGTATCAGGGCCAAACCTGTACTGTAGTGAGCCGATTTGATTTGATTTTGATTTCTTTGACGAATTAAATGACTATTTCCTTTCAGAATAAAAATGGTATCATCCGAAAGCACTACACTAGGCGAATCCGGGACACTAATTCGCACGGTGATAAGAGGTGGGGATGGTGTGCCAGTGGGGAATCTGACCTGGCAAGCAGGAGACTCGAGAGGTCGCGATGTCGCGAGTGCATGCTTCACATCATGTCCCAACTCCTCTCGAGATTGTGCCATCCCTCCCCACTTCCTCCCCCTATTATCATATAAAGTACAGCACTGTAATCGCCTTGACTAACGCTTGAATATGATACTACAATTACTATACAAAATAAATGTTCAAAAATGCCCAAATCAATTCACAGCAGCCTGTTTGAGGCATTTCAGGGCATCAATTGATCCCCTGTAAGTATTTGGACACATCAAACATATTCATTATGATGTATGAAAGCTATCTACAACATATGAGCCACATGGATCAGCTTCTGGACCTATGACAGAGGCTAGAAGGGCTAGATGGATGGTGGAAGGGGATAAGCACGAGTAAATGGCTGGCGCTGGGCGCAGTTCCCACGGTACGCGTATGCGGTATAGCTCATCGTGTAGAGCGGGTCCAAGAGTGGGTTATCCGAGATTGACAAGCCAGCGGAGCATGAGGGGAGCTGCAGGGAATTTAGGCAAGGAAGGTGATTATGAATGGGGAAAAGTGCAAGTAAATGGCTGGCGCTGGACGCGTTTCCCACGGTACGCGTACGGAAACTAGACCATCGTGTAGAGCGGGTCAAAGAGTGGGGAAACCCCGCTTTACAGATCAGCAGAGCGTAAGGGGAGCTGGGTAGAATTTTGATAAGGGGGAGGAGGAGGAGGAAGGGGGGAGAGCAATGGTGTGTATGAACGGCTAAGGGCGGTCAGGTGCGTTGAACATAGACAGTATTGGCATACCCCAAAGACCTATTCCCCAAGGTATCAGCCAAATTGGATGAGAAACGGGCAAATGGTGGAGGAGGGGAGGGGAGCAGGAGGAGCAGGAGGGTGCATAGTGCACAGTGCAATAACGGTATACTTTTAAGCTAAGCGGAGCTCTCAGGCGTGTTCGCAGTACCTAAAAGAGGGTATCCCGTGAGTCTCATCGAAATCTAGCGGTAGGAAAAGGTAGGAGGGGGAGGTCCAGCCAGGCAGTGTGGCTAGCTGGCACATTGCGAAGCGAATATCTCGGGAACGGACGCACCGATTACAAAACGGAGCACAGCGTTGGATTCGCCTCAAAAAATGCGTCAAGATGACCCCCAGGATGTTCCAAACCAAGGGGGTCGATGTTGGGGTGGTCTGGCTGGCTGCCGGGGCCGGCGGGCACGACGGGCGGGAAGGGCGAGATCCGGGCGGCGGGCTGATGATTGATGGCGCATGGAGGTGCCGGAGGGTGTGCGGGTGATCTCGGGCCGCGAGGAGGCAGGCCCGAGGCCCGAAAGGCCATCTCGGAACATTCCGAGCTAAGCATAGGGCAATAAATGCCCTACAAACACCAGTAGAACCCATTAAATACTTATTCATAGCGTAGTGTTACACCCCTACTTTCTTAATCACCCTCGAATAAGTAAGCAGGTACACCTTAGCTTGAGGCCGTATCAGTAACCCATATACTACAGTCAGCTGTCACTCACATAGGCCGATACGATTAAGAATTCTTGACCGCTTTAACTTAAGTATTCCAGCCGGATTAAGAAATCGAGATGATGATTACTAAACTCAAAACACTTAAGAAAGGGTACATGATTAAGTATTCGAACATGATTAAGAAACCGAGTACGATTAAGAAACCGAGTACGATTAAGAAACCGAAACCCAACACGATCAAGAATTCGAAGACGATCAAGTATTCACGCATGATTAAGAATTCGAACTCGATTGAGATGGGCCTGGTCAGGTTGATGAGTGAACTACTTTGCACGAAGGTATCAGTTCGTGCTTACCAAACCGCCATCGCCCCTGCAACCTCCAACCACCTGCGAAACCGCATGAGGACCGCCTGCAACACCGAATGTCAGGTCTAAATATCATGTCTAGGTTTAGGGCGGCGTACCCTGAACATGAGTGCGATGGGCAATGCCCATCACGCGCGTGCCACTCAGGCATGTATTCGATGGGCGCGCGCCCTGGAGTGGAGGTGCGGCGGCAGGGTTGCGGGGCATGGGCGAAGTGGGAAGAGGAAACAGGAGGTTGACGCGCTCGCGCTCGCACTCGCGCTCTCTCAACCGGACTTTCCCGGACCCTCACGTGCCGCTCGGCCTCGGCGGACCTCGGTCTAGCCCCGCTCGGCCTCGGCGGACTTCGGTCTAGCGCCTCTCGTCTAGTCTTACAGTCGTACGCTGAATCCTTGCATTCGTGAAGCTGCCGCAATGAATCCGGAATGTGGTAGCTGGGTTCTTATGCCCGAGCTCATACCATTCGCGTCGTACTGCTGCCTGCGCCGCCATGCTTCCGGATCTTTCCCCGGACGCTGACCTTCGCCTACCTGATGGACTACTTGACGGTAAGGAGTCAATAGGCTCATTTCGCAATGCCAATGCATTCCTTCTGCATATGTTACTCGTCCGGCCATTGGAGAAGACTCGGAGTTACAATCGTTTTACTTAGTACATTAGCGTCGAAGGGAAGCGTGGCGTGCAGGCGCGCGTGCGTCATAGCGCGTTCACACACTCCGGTCGCGCCTGCTTTTAAGCATCGAAGTGCTCCCATACTCTCAGATTAGTTGCTTATCACTTAGACTTCTTGTACTCCCAACAAAGGTCTTGCTATTTCTAGGCAGTACCGCATGTACCGTATACAGCCATGATCAGCGTCAGAGTTTGACGCGCTTTGCGTTAGCCCCCTTCTTGTCCTTCTCCGCCATATCGCTTGTATCTTGTGTCTCGCTCGACGCCGAGACCCTCTTCCTCTTCTCCTTCTGACCGCCTGGCCCTGCGGCTGACTCCTTCTTGCTCGACCCTGCCTTCTCGCTCGGCTCCACTGGCCCGCCCCACCCCATCGTTCTCTTCACCGTCGCCGAAACCACTCCGTTCGCCTCCATGTACGCCAACGCCTTGGACTTTGTTCTGGTTGATGCCACGATCAGAGCGCGCCTCAAAGTAGTACGTCGTATTTGCTTACCGCTCTCTACCGGAACCCTTCTGACGTTCTCCCTCCCCGCCCTCCATTCCATTAGTACTCTCTCCCTGCGTCGCGGACGGACGTGCGCGAACCTGCTCTGTGCAGACCCGCAGCACTTGAGCCATGTCAGCCGCCGCCATCTCCCAGTCCAAGACGGATGTCCCGTCGCGCAATGACTCCATATTGTCCGCCCACAGAAGCAACCCGATCACCAGCGTGCGGGCGCCCCACTTACCCCCCCTCATCCGATTCCCCCAGTCCATTGCGCTATCGGCTGGACGCACAATCTCGTTCCCCTCGCGACGTTCAGCGGGCTGCAGCGCCACCCACTGCTGCGACCATGCCGCGCCAAAGTTCCAATCGAGACCATCACCAGCAGCGCCGTCACCGCCTGTACATACGCCCACCCACGACAACTTCTGCGCAGACATGGCCCAAGCACGCAGGTACCGAGGGCGTACCGTGACTTCTTCACCATGCATATCCAGTTCTGCCCATCCCTCACACGCTCGGGCCGCGGCAGGCTACGCGAGCGATCAGATTCTGGCAGGCGCTGTGCTCATGCAGTCAAGCTTACCGGACTGGCACCCTCAAATTCAAGGTATGCGTGCAATAGCGCGTATACGATCGACTTGCTGACGCTCCAATCAGCGCATCTGAGCCCTACCTCCTGCAAGAACTTTCCTGCGTTGGAAACGCGGCCTCGCGTCCCGTACACGCCTTGCGCGGCGACGACGTAGGTCAGCTGCTTTACCTCCTCGAGCACCATGTTCGCCACATCCGTCTCACACGGCATTTCAGTACGGGCCATACCTCCCAAAGCAGGGTCGCTCACCGTTTTGCGCGTTGGAATCGGCGCAATCATTACCGGATTCCAGCCCGCAAAAATCGGCTCGAAGTTCGGCTGTCAATATCCGCTCAGGTGCGCGCTCTCGATGCGTATGGAAGCCATACTCACCGCATCCTGCACAGAAGCATTGCCAGGCGTTGAAGAAGTCGGGCGTATGTCCGTGCCCTCAGGCTAGACGCGTAAGTCAGCTACATGAGACGCTTCTTAGCTGATGTCCGAAAACCTCACCACATCCGCTTTCCCAGACGTCGTCACCGTTCGTTCGTCCGTATTGGTCGGACTCGTGCCCTTGCCTCCCGAGCCCGCGCGGCCCATTCCAGCTCCAGGATCCTCGCTCTCTTCTTCACTCATTACCCGGTTGATCACCTTCTTCCGCGGCCGTGGACGCTTGGGCACCACCTCCTTAGCACCTTTCCTTGGATCCTCTGTATCGCTGTCAGCGTCCCAAACACCCAGGCCGCTATCACCATCGTTGGACGCCACACCCTCCGCACCGTAGTCCTGGTCGCCGAACTTTCCATCACGGTCTCTGCGCTTGGTGCTCCCACGCTCATTGAACATCGTCCTCTTTCCGCCCAAGCTCAGGTCTTCAGAGTCGTCCTCACTGCCCCCGCCATTGCGCTCTCCGCCGGCCTCCGCTGTCTTCCTCCTGCGCTGCCCCGTATCCCCGATCTTCCCGCCACCGAGCGCTCCTGCCGTCGCCGCCGGCGTCTTGCTGCGCTTGTTGCTCTCACGCTCATTGCCCATTCTCCTCTTGCCGACCAGGTCTTCAGCGTCGTCCTCGCTGTCCCAATCATCGCCGTCTCCGCCGTCATCCGCCGTCATCCTCCTGCGCCGCGGGGTATCCCCAACCCTCTCGCCGCCGAATGCTCCTGCCGTCACCGACGCCTTCCGCGGACCACGCTGCTGTCTCTCGTCGCTCTCCCCGCCAACGCGTGCTTCTGCCGGCGTCCGTCCGTAATGCCGACGTCTCCTTTCCCTCTCGCTGCCGCCGAGTGCGTCCATGATCCCGTGGCCCTTCTTCGCCGCCAGTTTCGTCTGCCACTTCAGTAATTCCTCCACTGCATCCTCGGGCTCGATGTCGTCATTCGTGAAGTTCGCGTCTAGCGCCCATCGTCAGCTCATCCTTACTATGGTCAATGACACGGCAGACGTACCGAACACCTTCTTCCCGAACGCCCTGAAGCGCTCCGCCACGGTTGCGAACATATCGACGTCCACCTCGCTATAGCTAAGACCGTTACGCCCTAGATGAGCGGGGATCGAGGACCACTCATACCTGTACCGTGTCAGTGCCCGTCGCGCTTTGGAAGACCGTCACGCTCACTTATTAACTTCAACTTCAGGGATACCGTTTTCCGTGGTGGGCGAAGCCACCATCAGCAGTACGACGCCCTTCGTACCCTCCGCCATGATATCAACGAAGCGCTCGGCAAAGACTTTGAAGTCGCGCAAGAAGCTGACGGACGTGAGCGTCCTATGCGTCTCCGTGTGCGGGATGTACTTACTTGTAGCACTCCTCAGGCGTCCGACTCGAGAGGTTCAGAGTCTTGTCAAAGTCCACTTGAGCCGCCTGCTGCAACTCCTCCACTTTCTCCTCCAACTCCGCCTTCAGGTCGCCGTCGAGGGTCTCCAACTTGTCAAGCAAGAACTGGCGCCTGGTGTTCATCAGCAGAGGGCGCTTGTCATCTGCACCTCGAGGACGACTGCGCTCGGCCTCCCATCTAGCCTTCAACTCGTCCGTCCACTCCGGCTGCCAGAAGTTGTTCGCCAGGACTTGATGCGGAAAGATCTTGCTCTTCTCGACCCGAAGCGCCTTCAATATGTCCGTGAGCGTCTTCGCCGCCTCGTTCTTCGCCGTCTCTTCAGTCTCCGACTCGTCGCTCCTGTTCTCGTCCTTGACCTTCGCCTTCGCCTTTCCTTTCGACTTCGACTTCGTCTGCGCCGCGCTCGACTGGCCTGTCGGGTTGTGCCAGCGGACAAGCGTCCTGTTTACAGCCTTACCTAGGTTAGTACTCGTACGCCTGCGTCCGAAGCGCCGTGCATCACTCACCAACCGCAACTTCTTCTTCAGCGCCGCCTGCTGCTCCTCGCTAATCCTCGAAAGGTCGTCCGCGCAGACAACATCCTTCTTGGGTTCCAACTCGTCGACGGGCAGCTTGCGGAAAGGCTCCAAGAGACCATACTTCGCCATCATGTAATTGGCCCCTTTCGTTATGGCCTTGGTCTTCAGCTTCTTCTTGTTGCCCGCATCGGTCCAGTCTCGGCCTACGTGGGCAATCAAGCTGACGAACTGCTTGCCGGAGATGAACGCCGGTTGTCCAGGACCTCGTACTTCTTCGATATCCGACTCTTCGTCGCTCGAGCGGACCAGGTCAGCCATGTTCAGAAGCAGAGGAGATAGTAGCGGGCGCGGGTGACAGGCAAGGCGAGGGAGCGCGCGGGGGACCGAGGCGCAAGCGCCCGTAATCTTATTCACCCGTGCGCTTCGACCGCACATCGGCATACTTTCTTATCTGACGCATTGCCAGACAGGTACACATGTCGATCTCCACAGCGCCTCAGTCTCACCCTACCCCTCCCCCGATTCAACTTTCCTCACTGCTGCATCTTTGGAGATGTACACTGTAGTTTGTGCTCCATTGTTTCCGTCTCATCGTACGCTCACAGCGTCTCTCAGTTTCCCTGTCCCTCCTAGCGGCCTGTGGTGTACGGCCCGATGTCGGGATACACATGCGGTGCGCTCCCCTCGATCGACGCCGATCATCTCACCAAACCCCCCTCAGCATCCAGATCACCCTCAGCAACCGTCCCATCGAGCTATACGCTCGCTTTCCCGTTGCGCGGTCAAGACAAGGCACCCTCACTCTCACACTTGCATCTACCAGAGCTCTTCTGCACCGCAAACGTCCTGCCGAGCGCGTTGGTGCACCGAGGCCAGCGTCACTCCGCCCGCTCGTCACCAGGGCGGGGTCGGGATCCTTGTCCCTACCGGAATTTCGGCATCATCCCGACATCGCGATCAGGCGGTTAGGCGCGTTCTGTTCTAGCGCATCGGACGTGGACTCTCAAATTCATAGTCTGCGTAGACACAGTTCTCAATCTCGCGCATCTGCCATCCTGTTGTATGTATACGCTCACTCACAATTCTTTTCTCTCGTGCTGTATCGTCAGATCTCCCTTCCAAGCAACGTTCTGGCGGCGGCGAGCCCGCGCCCGGAAGCAAATGTCTCGTATCTCTAATGTGGACCGCGGAGTCCAGCCCCTGGGGACGAGGCACTGCAAGGTAAAGTCTAATTAACTATTCACGCCAGCTTTTCGATGAGCTCCGCTGGTTCGAACCACCCAACGGCGTCCCGAAAGCCCGTCTGCCGAATCCTGACGCAAGAGATGAGCGCTTCAGCGTTAGAAGCACGAAGAGCGCTCACCTTCGGCCCACTGCAATGAATGCGCCGCAATGCCCCACGGCTTCGAGCTCCATAGCGCTCATATCCAGCATGGCGCCCTCCTGCAGCAGTATGGCAACGCGCCTGCGCAGCGTCAAGAAATCATCAGTCCCGCTGTATCCATCCCGCAAGGTGTCTCGCGCGCGATTTGTATACGCCTCGATTTTCCTGTCGATCCATTCCCTGTAATACGGTTTGGCTACACGGCAGGGATTATACGGCCCCCCCCTGAAGTGCTCTACCGCGCGCAAGTGGAGGCGCGCACATCTCGCCCAGAATGCCGTTTCGCCCGCCTCCATCTCCTCCGTCCGTTCTGGATCTGCAGTCGTACGCCGTGCTACAACGGGGAGGTTGAAAGAGCTATAGATTGCCATGAGAGGAATATCCGGCGGCTTCTGAATGAACTGACGTACTCTTCGTTGCCGTGAACTATTCGCCGCGCCCGATTAAGAGCTGCTTCGGCGTAGCTGACCTTTCGACCGCCGCGTCCGACACTCTTCTTCTTTTTCGGACGGCCCGATGTCATCATCTCTCGCGCAGCGTCGTCTTCACGAGTGAGATGCGTTGTGCGCGCCAACTGCGCTCTGAGTGCAGGTCAGGACTGCCGGGTCGCACATCCGCGTCTGAACTCACAAGATTGGCCGCTTTGTCCGCGCCATCTAGAGCGTTAGAGCCTTCTTGGTTGAACCCCGAGAAGGTTGTCTGAAGAACGAAAGAGGGAATGATATGCGTGAGGGAAGAGAGCGTCACAGTGGAGAGCTCGAAGGTCGCACAGCTTCTCACGCGATTCGGGTTCAGGTTCGACGCAGCGAGCACTTTCGCAATGTCAGGCCATGTATCTCGAGGATCAAGCCATGAATGCGCCTCAAACTTATTGGACAGGTAGAAATACTCAGCCCCCTCCAGGTTTCCCAAATGCATCGAGCATATTAGTTCTAGAAGGTCATACAGCGCTCTTTCAGTGGTATGCAGCCCCAGCAACAAGTAGTTCGGCGCGTCGCGTCGGACATATGACCTCCGAATCGAGGCAGCGTCTTTCTGCTACTCCTGTTCGCATCTTCCACGGGTCCAATCACAGGTATGAAACCATTTTGGTATCTTTGGGAGTGCTTTCGATGAAGCTATACGTAGTACTAGAGGGGGAACGCTGATAGCTGCTTTTCGGCCAGATGAAGCCGACTAGAATCCGCGGCCGACGCGTTCACACGCTATATCCCGCTATCTATTCAACAACGCCGTCGTTCGACATTCATCCGTCTCCTCCCGCTCAACTCAAGATGGCCCGCCGCGACCCTTTCTTCGAAGCAGGCGGACGCGCCGAGTTCCTCGATACCCAAGTAGATGTCTACCAGCGCATGAACCGCATGAGCTCGAGGCAGCGTCGTATAGCGGAATACGGCATCTTCGCTCGTTACCTTGAACACTGGCCAGAAGACGCCAATCGCGCCCGCGAGTACGCGAAGAACATCAAGGGGACCGCCGTGCTGTCAGAGGTCAACCCCCTACTCAACGTATGGGACACACTGTCACACACCCCACTGTCATCTAACCTTGTTTTCTTCATAGCTCATCCAGAACTGGCTGTACGCGCGTCGTCGGTACCGGCTCAGGTGCTAAGCGATCTCTGTCGGTCAACCCATGGGCCTGCTCCTCGCGCACGGCCGCATTACGTCTCCACACTCTTGTTGTGTTATAAGATCTTGTATTCCATACATGCTATACACAGTGCGAACCAGTGTTCAGTCGTCGCGTACGATTACAGCCTCTGCCAGCATCCCGTTCGTAGCCCATGCCCTGACCTCTGCCTCCTCCTCCCGGTAGTCCCTCAACGCGCAACGCCATGGTAACAGCTCTTCTTCGTCCAAACGCCTTCGCGCCATGAGAGCCTGTGCCACGTGCAATATGCCTGCTCCTGCGCCAAATGCGTTCCCCACAACTTGAGCGCGACGCGTGCGCGCGTTTCGGCGCAGCTCAGTGAGCATCACACAAGCGCGATGTATGCCACGCCTGGCCCACCGCAAGCGGTTTACCCCAAACCATTCCCGGTTATGCTGCGCTCCAACCTCCTCCAAGTCCCGCAGAGTCTCGCACAGGGCGTATAATTCCTCCGGGAACTCCGCGCCGTCTGGTCGGGCGTTTGCAGGCGCCGGCTGTTCGGGCTCCAACCACCACCCTATGCCTTGCTACGTATACGTTCAGCGAGTGAATGTAAGACGTAGCACTAGAGGGCTTACCGGCCGGCAGTCTTCCGGATCAGGAAACGTTAGCCGCATCCCAATCTCCCGCAAGTGCCTGTCGACATGCGACCACGCCAGAGCGTCCAAGTAGCGCAAAAAGCGCCAAGGGTTCGTAGTGTCCAGACGGAAGTCCCCCGTTTCTTCGTCGTGATCCACCATCGTGTCCCAAACGCCCATTGAATCAAGCACGGCCTGCTCGTCCGCTCCAATATTGAATGGCCATAAGGCGTAGCCGCACTGTGGACAGCTCCAGTGACCATGGCTGCCTTCGCGAACAAAAACGTGAGGAGGCGGCTGCTCGAGTATGTCGCACAAGCCGGGCGCCATGACCGAGACGTAGTTCTTGATGTAGGTTTCGCGGAGACCGTACCAATACGACGCTGGGTCTCGATAACAGTCAGGGATGTGTGCATCGCGAGGGATAGGTCCAAGCGGGAGGGGCTCCGGAGGGAGATCGCGCATAAAGCCTGTTGGAGAAGCGGGTAGCTCTGGGTTCATGTCGTCCGTGGTCTCTGAGTGCAAGCTATCACTTGAAGCCATCTGCCCCTCGATGTACTTGCATATCTATCCAAAGTTTTAGTTCAATCTACACAACTAGTGCTCAAACTGCGTACCAGCCAATCCCTGCAATGCTTTTCCGCGTCCTCCACAGGACCCGGTCTACCTCCCAACCCACGCCGCAGACGCAGAAACCTCGCGCTAACGTTGTTCAGCCAAGACATGAGGTCGATGCGGAAGGTGGACGCCGGCAGAAGGATGGGCAGCGCGTATTCTGCGCCCTTGTACGGGAAATTCCGTTCGGCGGCGGCCCGTTCCTGCCGTTCTCTCGATCGCAGGATCACCGAGGATCAGAACAGGGTACAAAGCGCCCCTCTATCACAACGCTGCCAGATTAGCTTAGCACTTTGCGCTCCGGACCTGCAACTGGTCGCTCACATCAGTCGCTTGTCTTCCGCTCTCAGCATCCCAGTCTTTCACCATGGACAATCGTGCTCCCCGCGACGACAACTTTTGGACGGTTCTGGTGAGCGCGCAATCCTTTGCTATGCGATAGATCTAATCACCTCACCTGTTTAGACGTACGAGGCGCTTGCATTTGTCCGGCGAGGTACTGCGTACGGGCTTCCTGACGACCACCAACACTCCGCCGTGCACTGGCCTTCGGACATTGCAGGATATCGCTTCTTGCGCGCGCCCAAACCTGTCGACGGCCGTGTGCTGGTCAACCAAGATGCTCACTTATTCGGCGTCGTCAACCGCAGCCACCGCTTGGCACCATACCTGGTTCATCTTCTTACTCCGCTATATGCGCCACTGGTATCCGGAACGCCATTCGAGCATCTGCAAGCTGATACGTGGCGCTGTCCACAGGATGGGTGCGCGTACTATGAGGACACGGACAACCTGTCCGCCGCAGCCGTACGCGCGATCCGGGACGTACAGCCCACGCCGGCAATCGCATCTTCGTCCCTCATATATGAAGGTATTCGGGCGCGGGCTAACCCAAAGTTTCTGCGTCTGGTCGTCGACATTGTTGGTCTGCGGCACTATCAGGACAGCCACCTCCGCAGCGTCGGGCTCGCGTGCAGAATATATGGACAGGACGTTCGTGGAGATGTGCGTGCCGCTATCTATATCCCTTACGATGTTGTCTGACCGGTATCGTCAGCTTGATTTTCAGTGGGTATACGAAGATTATAAATCAGTGCTCACCTCCGTCACCGGAGAAGGTGCTGCGGCCCGCATGTACGAAGAGCAAGAGCGAGTTCAGCTGCAGCGTCGTATATCCCTCTTAGCCCGCCGGTGGGCTCTCAGCACTCAATCCGCCATTCTGCGCGAGCGCCACCAAGATGCGCTCGCACTGCATAACTGCCTGAGCCAACGGGCGCGCGATGTACACGAAGAGTCCCTCCAAGATGGCCGCGACCTCTGGAAGGAGGCATGCGCGATATATTCTCTGCTCCATGCTGGGATTACAGAACGCGAGACCTTGAACGCGGTCGGAGACAAAGCTTTTGAGCGGGCTCGGGAGACGCTAGACTTCTGGGAGCGGGGGGCCGGACGCCGCAGATTATTGCCGAGGGCTAACGACCCCGAGATGTATCGTGTTGACCAGTAGACTAGCCGACCGAGTAAACTGCCATTACTCAGGGATTTGATGCGCCGATGTTCGCCAGTGAGCACGCCCCGCGCGACGCGCAAGATTCGACCGCTGACTGGACGTAGCTATCATGAGTATATTCGAATAGATCCATGGTAATCCATAGCAATGATGCGAGACATGTGTAGATCGGCTCAGCATCGGCTCAGGGTGGATGAAAGAGTCAACGTCCAGCTCGCGCGTCAGTGTCCAAGCTGCGCATGACGCCCTCCGTGCCCACGCATCCACAAGCGTCCACACGCGCCCACGCGACACGGGTTCACTACAATGCGAGCATCTCTTATTATCTGCGGAGGACTACATTGTCGCACTATCTAAGCGTATCTGTACCACAGTCAAAACACTATTCTATCCCTACAGCTTCGCCGTGAGCGATTCAAAAGCCTGTCCACCGCTGCCATGGGCGCCGTCCACACCGTCAGTCTTCATGCCCTCAATGCGCCCCCAAAATCTCTCGCAGCCCTCTCCGTCTGTTGGGTGATCCTGCGCGTATGGGAGGTTGAAGTACCGGAGGCTGTGAACCTTGTGCGCTGCCAGATGAAAGCGAGGCGGCCAACTGCCGCACGCGATATCGTATGACAGCTGTTTATCAAGGAGTTCTGGCGAGTGCGTCAGAATATAATCAGCTGTAGTGTAGCGTTCGCCCCTAGTATTAATGTCAGCGTATTTCTGACATTGAAAAGGATGTCTCGGCATACGGAGGTAGGGGAATAGCACGCCAGGGACGCCAAGGGCCCAGTGTAGATGATTCGCCTGTCTCCACCCCCACTTCGGACGCTCCCGAGAGCGAATGTGGCGAGGACAACGCTACTTGGCCTGAAACTTCTTCATAACGTCAGCACCGTCGCGCGGTAAGCCAAGTATGCCTCACCCACCCTCGGATCCGGTCGTATTGGAGCCTGTGACGTCTACGTTGTGGCAGGGACATGTACAGTGCTCTGGTGCAAATCGGTCAGTAGTTGACAAGAGGGGCAACGACGACGTCGTCGCTCACCGGCACACGCGCATTCGTACGAAGCTTCAACCGGCTCGAGGTCAGGCATATCCTCCAGGTCGTCTTGTTCAGCGTCAGGCGCGCCGTCCATATCGCGACTAGCCATGAGGTGCAAGATGAGGGGAGGCGATAATCCACGAAATGCGCCGTTTAAGTATATACGACGCGGAAACGACCGGGGGCCGCTCTGAAAGGCACACTGTAAGTATAACTGTGCAACAACTCTAGAGACCCGGCCAATAGGCGCGCCACGACGCCAAGGTACGCACATCTGAAGCCTGGAAGAACTCTGATGCAGATAGCTCAATCGATCAATCTCCGACGCGACAGGCTAATGCCTTCCGGCTCCGGACAGGCGTCCCGCATGGTATACTGGCGAGAGGGCGGGTGTCAACTCTGTCGCTTGACGTTGAAGGTCCTGTATAGTCTCGTACTGTATCCGTGTGCTCGAGGAGGCGGCTCCTGTCGGGTGACGCGTCAGCTTCTATATCCGATGACGAGCGCAAGTCAAATGCGTTGCGCGCGGGACTGTCAATCGAGATAGGCTTGCCTCGGGGCAAGACGACGGCCCGCCAGTTCGGATGCGTAACATCGGATCCACCCGATTCGTGATGATGCCAGTGAGATTGATGATCGGCATCCACTGTGTGCTTTGCTGAGCCACGGCGGCGAGCCTAAAAGCTTAAACAAAGAGAGGCCAGATCGCATGTGTGGCGCCAGTGGTCCCTATATCCCGCTCCTATTCATTTCATACGATGGGAGACAGCGGGCAGAGAAGATTTTTGTAGAATTGCGTCTTGTCGTACCAGAATATGAGGTGCTGCCATGTTGAGGGAGAAGTCGCCAGTGGAGCGTTGCGGCCAGGAGTGTGTAAAGACGCGGTCAGAGTCAACAGCAAGACGCGACTGAAGCGACCCGCGTAACTGACGCTTCTTCGTTCCACTTGCACTCCACGGCCACTCGCGCACCCTTGCGCCCTTGACTCTCATGTTCGGGGAGGGGGCTGACTATTAGATTGTATTGGCCCACTGAGTTTCTTGTATAACTAGAACAGTGTGCCGCTATTTCGGTGAACATTTTACACGGCCGTTCTTCTGGTTAACCAGACCTGGTTCGAACCAGAAACAATCGCCGACCCCGTACTCTTTTCTGACACTCGTCTTTACCCAGGTTCAGGATCCAGTGGCGTGTCAAGTCTAGAAGCTTCAGCGAGTAGGATGATACATGGCTCTTAGGTGCGCCTGATTCGTTCTGTTATCCTCTGCCTCACTGACGTCGGAGATAACAGTTACATTCCTTTGTCCTAGTCACCTGTAAACGCCATCTAGTCTTCGAATACCATTTTCTGTCTCTGACACCCTTCATACAATGGGAACACACGACACGAGCATCTAACCGTCTCACATCATGCGCGATGGACTATCAACTATGGGAGAGCATGTAGAGTAGGGTCGTTCGGGCGTCTCTGAAGCCTGGCTCTGCCACCGCCCGCGTTCCAGTACTCCATCGTATCTCCAGCCTCCGCCAAAAGCCGTTCCTGTTCGGCCAATCTACCAGCTCCGCGTACCGCCGCCTCATACATCACACGATGGACATCTTTGGCCTGACGCCACAGAGATTGGCCACGGGGATCGCTGAGACGTATCTCCCTCAGACCGGCAGACTGTGCCGACTCGTGCGCACGCTTGTGGGCACCGTCGCGGTCATCGCGCGCCGTGACGTATGCGGCATTCTCGGCCCGCACAGCCCAGCGTCGGGCGAGAATGGAGATCGACGCCTGCACGTCCAAGCGCTGCGACTCCTCGTAGGCCCTCGCTGCGATTCCAACCGCCGTCCGTGAAGTCAAGACCGTGCCGATGTCCACTTGCTGCCACTCGTAATTGAGCTACAATTCATCAACACTGGCTTGTATATGGGCGCGAGAGTGGCTTACCCTATGAGCTCTGTCTTGACCGTACACAACGCACCTCAACCCAGCCTCTCGCCCGAGATGAGCTGCCTCCAGATGCTCCAACGCAACTAGGTCAACGACAAGCTCTGCATACGCAGGGTTAGCGACCGTAAGGTTGCCATGCGGGCCGGTCTCGATCCGCAAGGGGTCCAGATGCGCAGCGAGGTCGCCGAGAGCGCCCGGGATGTATGCGCGCACGACTGCTACTGCGTGGGGGCTCAGACCTCCGAGGCTGACATAGTGTTCGCAATCCGGATGGGGACACAGCCAGATGCCGTGAGCAAGCGAGGTGTGGGGCGGTCCATCCAGGATGCGCTCGTACTCCGGCCGTAGTAGCTCGCGAAGATAAGGTGCAATGCCAGCCGCGCTACTACCCACGACGCGCCGCAAATGGCTGTCCCTGTTTGCTAGATGTCGGGGAGGGCCGTTTCGTGGAGGGGCGGGATCATTAGGAAGGTCCTGCAACCCATCCGGGTACTGGAGAGGGTGCGCCAAGGAGTCGTCGGGATGCGGAGTGCGCTTGCGCGACTGGCGCATGTGGGTAAGAGCCGTGTACGTCTGTAACAGGTCGTGAGTACTCAGCAAGTGTATTGAACTGTGTTTCAATGACGCACCACATTCACCCAGAAACTTTCGTCGAGTGGAACAAGCTCGTCGCGCAATGCTGGCTGCTCGGCCAAGGCGCCAGCGAACACGTCCTCACTTATGAGAGAGAGGTGACCCCAAGAGTTGTCCATGAGAATCGGGGGATTCGTGGCTAGTGTGGAGAAGAGATGGGCAGTGATGAGGAGGGCGTGAAGGAAGGAACGCGTCCAGATTGCGGGTGGCGCGTCGGCGCGCGGGCCGGGCGACAGGATCTTCAGGCGGACGCCGTTCCCCAACTCGCGCCTTCTCTTCCACTCCATCCCTGCGCTACTTACCAATGTCATCGTGGCTCCAAACTGCAACACCCGAAGCTCGCCGTGCGCTGTACGGGTACCAACCGGCCCATGGTGGACTTGATGAGGGGGAGAGTAGGCGGCACTTCATGGTGCGCTCTGACCACCTGTCTCCTTTCCCCAAGTGTAACTTATGACCCTTAGGCGGCCAACTACATCGATGCTCAGATGGCGTCGAGCGACAGTCTGCATACTCGCGATGATTTCACTCGCGACGAGAACCCTGAACTGCCAGAGAGTCGACCTGGGTCCCCCGCTCGCGCCGATCCGCCTGAAGCTCTTCCCCTTGGAACTATACCTCGCGACACACACTGGCCTCACTGGATGAGAGAGGACGACACGCGTCACTATGATCGCGACTACGATATCAGGATGCACGTCACGGACTTCCTTCCTGAGCTGGGCGATCTTCTGGACCAGGCGAGGCCAAATGAGTACGTCGGTGAAGCACAAGACGCTGTTTGGAGATGTCCGACGTGCGAGTACACTTTCTGTCCATACGATCTGAACCGTGAGGCCGTGCAGGCCGCGCGCGAACTGGGGCCGGATGGGGTGGTGCGCGAGGATGCGGAGACCGGAGTAGCATCTCTCGACGCCTCCAATCCTCGCCGTTTTCTGAGATACATGGACTCTCTGGCGTGGAAACACCTGGCAGGCCACTTGCGCGGCATCGGCATTAGGCTGACATGGCCAAACGCTCATACGTCTTACCGGGTGCGTGCTCGCATGGGTTGTAAGTGCCACACGCTCACTACAATTGATGCCAGGAGCCTGTCGCTTGGTGGCTGGAACACGAACAGCCGTCGCCAGCGGAGGGTCCATTCTTACACGCGCTTCACACGATGTGTCTCAGACTGGAACACAGCGAGAGGGTTGACAGCGATAGGCTACGTGAGTGGATCCTCATCAAAACGCTGCGCTCTGCGAGGAGGGGTCAACATCGCGCGCGCGTCAACATCACCCGCCTACGCCGCGAGGCTCGTGCGCGGCGTGCGAAGCTTGTGGCACGAATGTTCGCAGCTGGCGCAAACGTGGTAACGGTAGCTCGGGGTCTGATGCGGCGTCGTGAAAAAGATGAGGAGTACTTGCTGCCGTGGCGTTTGGAGCTCAACAGACAGACCAAAATATTGCGGGAGGGTCAGGCGCGCGCGAGCCCTAATGTTCTTGCGCAATCTCGTATCGCGCCTCGCGGGTTCTGAATAAGCATCACATGTATTTCTATTACTCTTATCGAACAATGACGACATGGCTTCGCGAACAAGGACAGTATGATATTGTGGTAAGGCTGTAAACAGGAATAGATAGCTTTCGGCCGAAACTCCGCGCATCCCGGCGCCCCTCGGGCATAGCTCAAAGTTCGATATCAGTGCCCTGCAGGACTGGAACTGTGCACGCGGATCTCGATCAATGCATTGAACCGCTCGGAAGAACACCGCGCTTACGGGTATCAGGGAACGCATACTCTTTGTTGCCGGAGATGCTGCTGTGTAGGTCCGTGACTGACGTACGCGCGATAACAATTCCCGGCAGACGGCGGTGAAGGACGATATCGCCTAGAACCACCACTTTCCATACAGCGCTACCCCTACGTTTCTTAGACGCGGCAAGTATCTTAACCTTGTCAGAAGTCTTGGTCTCGTGCTGATCCCACAGATCCAGATACTCGGACAGCTCGATAGACGCTTGACCCCGCGGCCAAGGAAGCCAGATAGGCTCGGGGATGTCCCCATTCTGGTAGATACCGTTGAGCTACAGCGTACGCGTAGAACATACTCGAAGTCTCACCTGCTTGTAATACCATACGCACTGAAAGCCCTGGGAGTCAAAGCCGTCGTCGCGAGCGGCGGAACCTTGACCAGCGCCCGCGGCGCCGTCCGTAATGTTGAAAGACATTGCGCGAGAGGAATCCACGGATATAGGAGCGTCGGAAGAGCCGCGAGGGAGCGTGTCTGGCGAGTTGAGGGGACGACGCGCAGGTGTAGCCGCTTTAGGGTTATGGTAGGATGCAGGAGAGTTGACCGAACGGCGTGTAGGGGTGGCCGTCTTGGAGGTACGGCTCGTAGTGGATGTGAGAGAGTTCTGTAAGACGGACGTGGTGTCAGCGAAGGGCATGGCTGACTTCTACCAAATGTTAGCACATGAGAGAGAGAACGTGATGAATAACAGCGTTACCTTCTTGCCCTTTTGCTGCCGGGGCTTGCGAGCAGGCTTCTTGGGGCCTACCACCTGCGGTTCGTCGATATCGAGCCTAAGGCCGTCGCGGTAAAGGATCAAGGCGCGGCGAGTTTCTAAAGTGAGCTCATCCGATACAAAGCGAACACCCTTGCCCTTCCCCCAGTTGTCGAGGTTGTGTTCAATGTCGCACTGCAAGACTGTGCTCAATGAATGACTCGGACGTATCACCAAAGCCATACTTACCTTCACGTAACGACGCCCAAGGTTGGAGTCGCACGTCAGATATTGGAGGTGTACGTCTTTGAGGAAGTGCCCGTGCAGAGCGCACGAAGCACGCCAAGTGGATAGCGAATCGCGGTCGATGGGTTTGGCGGCGCGCAGAACCTCAGCATGCAGCTCGGGCTGCGAGGGCTTCGCCTTCGGCGCTCGGGGCATGACAGAAGCACGAAGAGCCTGCGCCTCCCTCTGAGCCGAAATCGTATCAGATACTTATGGCGCAATCAGTAGGCAGACTAGCTCATCATCGAGAGAGCGATCCTGAAGATCGATATACCATCAGAAAGCTGCGTGCGAGCTAAGTTGACACCAGGGGCCGCTGTTGCCCAGATGGTACACTGCGTGATTAGTACGTTACTCCCGGCGCGTGCGTCGGAGAACCCGTTCGGCATCCACGCCACAATCGCGGTACCAGTCATTTGGCGCCTGGCCCGCGGATGGCAGCGTATGGGCCAATACCGAAGTCTGTGCTCTTATTTCGCAAAAAGTACCCACACTATACACAGTATGTATGATTCAGACGGCTGCATTAACCTACTACAAGCGTAAGCGTCTGCAGCGACTCCTGCAAGTCGGGGTTGTCAAGCATCGAGCGGATGTTGGCTAACGTTTTGCAAATGCCGGAGTGTCCGGCAGACCAGTCGCTAAGGCACGTCAGTGGGTTGAGGCTGCGCCCTGCCAAATGTACTCACAGGTTCCGACAGTTCTCTCCGCAATAGTATACGCGCTTGCACCTCCCGCAACGTTTGACGCCTAAGCCAGGCGAAGCACGGCACCCATGGCGCCAGCAACGAACGGTGACCTCGACGTTGAGGCTTGCGGGTGAGCGGAGCGCCGCGAGCTGCACCGTTGTCAGATGCGAGTGAGTCGGGGAAACGCGGCCGTCGGCGCGAAGGAGGCCGATCCAGGAGAGCTGCTCCTTAGCCCACCGCATGGGAGGGAGCATCATCTCCACGTTGGTCAGAAGTGCGATCGGGGCTACTGTGGGCGGCAGGACCGGCGGAACGTCGCGCTCCAGACAGGCGTACACGAGGCGCAGAAAGTACACAGAGTCCATGGTCTGTACCGCCTGATAAAAGGCGAAGCTGGTGATATGGGGAAGCATGCTAGGTACGGCGATGATCAGGAATGAACTGCACGCGGGATAATTAATGAGGGCGCTTACGCTTTGACGGAGGCCAATGTGATGCCCAAGGTCACCGTGAACACGGTGATGGACTCATGATGGGCGGCGTACTCGGGGCTCCTCGCGCGTGTAGACAAGAAGTGGCAAACGCGGAGCATGGGCTGCAGATTGCTGCGCGTATCGTCTACGAGATCGACTCCGGGTTCCACGGCTCCAGTCTGAGTAAAGAAAATCATGTGGCGGAGGGAGTATAGCGAATGGAGGGTCGCAACATAGGTCAGGAGAGTCGGGAGGTGCGGCTGTAAATAGTGTTGGCAATGAAAATTGCTGGCTAGTAGAGGGGGTGAGGCGAGCTCACCAGAGGATGCGCAATCATCGCGTTTATAAGCGTGTTGGTCGCGGTGTCCAGAGATTGCGTGTACTGAACCAAAGGGGGAAAGCTAGCCATGGCGGGTAGAGGGGTTCCTTGCTCAATCCAGCCACTAAGGAAGGTTATCGTGGTTTCGAAATCCCCAGCGTGTACCAGGGAGAAACCTTGAAGCATCATGATGATGGCGGGAAAGTTGTCAGTGTCAGGAGCGGGGACACCTCCGGGGGGATCCATGGTGATGGGTGAAAGGAGACGAAAGAGAATCCGCGCGGCATGGGCTTGATTATATAGGCGGGGAAGGACTCGCGCGAGAGAGACAGTCGCCAAAGCGGATTCGGCCGACCATGGTTCGCTGACGGGCACAACAGTAGTAGTATCGAAAGAGCGCGAGTAGACTGCAGTCGACAGTATTGCATTCGACAGTAGCGGGAGGGATACTGGATGCGTCAACGGTGATGGGAGCTAGAAGAGCGAAGCGCGAAGCGCGTAACGCAAAGAGTGGCACCGGTCCGAAGCCGATTATAGAACACGTGCACACCCACGCGCGGGTAAACGGACGCGTTCAACTTGCCTCAGTCCATTGGCAGGAACCCCGGCGTCCCGTTCTCACCTAACTTTTGGTATGTCATGCATGAACTGGCTGTGTAAATGAGCTCATGAAAGCCTTGTATAGCTCCCTTCTTTGGAACCCACACTCTTTTAGCATCTACTCGACTCGGAACATTGAGAACGCACCCTTGGAAAAATAATGGACAAGTGAGTCTCTGAGCCTATTCAATATCGAGAACGCCTCCATATGCTCTCCGTCGTCGATGGCGTTATGACCCTGAGGGGTCTGCGCCCAAGTAGCCCAAAACGAACCGCCTGTACGGAATGTGCTCTCGATTGACGGCGAGCATTGTTCGCCGCCGCGTGCGCGAACAGCGTCTGCTTTGCGCTTCTCTGCTTTGGTATAACGGGTGCTAACAGGACCTGGGCTTGATGTCAGGTCACGCGTCAACGTCTCAAACGTCTGCAAGTACCCGTCCCAGGCGTCCTCAGTGGCGGGAAAGCGGGTATTGCTGGCCCCGACGGCCATACCGACCGACTTCGACTTTGGAGGAGCTCTTCGGATGGCTCACTATGCCAATCGCTCGTGGCAGGACTCCCTTGCTGCGTGTGCAGCTGACCAGACGCCCCCGCACTCTCCTACGAACCTCGCTTCTGCAACGCCGCGGCCGGTGCGCGGCCCCAACACCCCAGTCGGCTTCTGCCCGCCCATGGACCTGGTGGCTTTTGCGAGGGCGCTAGACCTTCGTTTCATGGCTCTCGAGTCTTGCTTGGAGAGCAAGATCCCAACCTGTGTGCTTATGCGCTGCATGGATGCGCCTAACGGCGGCGACGGATTTGACGATGCCGAGGAAGCGCCGTGGGCAATGGCGTTCGACCTCAGCTGCCATCCAGGCGCTACTCCCGCGCCAGCTTTCGCCTCGCCCTTCACTTCATCAGGCGAATCCACCCCCGACGTACTGCCGTCAACAGTGGTGAACGGAACATTCTACCCGGCCGATGACCGACGTCACTGCCATCGGAGTCAGGACGCGTCTGCATCCGCGCCAGCGAACAGCTCGCATGAGCGTGGCTCTGTTGGGCGGGCTTTTGAGGTTGCAGCTGCAGGCGGCCGGGAAAACCCATTCCGCGTCGAAGGCGCGCGGAGGGACAGCTCGGAGAGAAACCGCAGGAGTCGCGATGCTCTCAAGCGCCGGCCTGCGCCCGGGCCCGCCGCCGCTGTCGAAGCAGCTGTAGGAGATGGGGCTGTGACGGGGGCGTTCCGCTCTGCCTACGCGGCCAAGAAGGCAGCACAGAAGGCTCGTCAGCGCGAACGTCGGCGATCTGTATCTCCTCAACAAACCCATGGCGCACCTGGGCAACAGGGAGCTGGAAAGAATACCGAGAAGAACCGAGCCAAGCGCCTGCGGTCCCGTAGCAGCGAGAAGGGCGAGTGCAGAGGCCGAGGCCGTAAGCGACGCCGCAACCCAATGCCAACCCCCTCTGAAGACGATCTTGCACAATCTGCCGTGTGCGTCGACCCTTCTTCGGGCGCAGGTGGTGGTGGCTCGGTGCCTTCTAGCATCCCGCCCGGTTCAAGAAAGAAGACGCGCCGCAACCCTCACCATCACAATAGCTACGCGGACAAGCGCGGGCGCCCTGGCTACCGCGACCTGCATGCTCAGCAGTCTGCGCACAGGCGGCGCGAGGCAAGGGAGCGCTTGCGCATGCAAGGGGGGGTATGGGGCAGCCTGCACGGATCCGACTACGAACGCGCGAAGAAGGCTTGCCGCGTGATCGCGCTGGACCGAGACGGCAACATCGTGCTCTCCCACTGTCGCAACGGCTTCACCGGAAATAAGCATCGCGACGGTCGCAGGGCAGACATTGACGATATGCGCTCTGTGGAGGAGCTGGACGCCGCTGATTTTTGGGGTATAAAATGGGACGGCGAGTACGTAGGCTGTTCCTACTTGTTGCGGGACCAGAATCCTGACTGGCGCTAGCCTCACCTATCTATTCCTTGACGTCCACGACGTTATCATCGTGGCAGCAATTTCGAAACCGGCCGATGATGACGCGCGTCCGGCCGAGGAGCGGTTCAGCGCTCTGCTGGACAGGGTGCGATGCCTATTCGAAGCTGAGCGTATAGCGCACGCCGACGATTTCCAGGGGAAGCACGCCGGTAGCGATCGGGGTCCCTTTCCAGCAGTGAACTTCGGCACGACGATGGGCATGGGCCAATCTGTAAGTGGGCTTGCGTCTGAGCATGCAGGACTGCGCTGACGCCATTGTAGGAGCCGAAGGAGCGTGGTTTCGAGCGCGCCGGTCACGAAGCAATCGCCCGACATATCATGGAAGATGAGGATGTTCAGCGCCTTGCAAAGTTCGGCAGTGGTAGGTTCATCTATTGAAGCCTGTGGTCGGAACTGTGCTAACGCTTTTGGCAGAATGCTTCGCGAAATACTTCCCTCTACCGTACTATCATCTTCGGCGAGCTATGCAGAAGTTGGCCACGCACGACTCACAAATAGCGCCTGTTTTCTCAGGCTCGGTATACCCCGCCGCCTGTGCGAATCTCGGTCCCCGTACGTGCTGCCGATGGCATCACGATATCAACAACTACCCGGGTGTACCGTGCTGGATTCTGGCGCTCGGGGATTATGACCACAGGCTCGGCGGCCATCTAGTCCTACCTCAGCTAGGGATTTACATCGAGTTCCCTCCTGGCGCCTCCGTTCTTCTATCCTCGGCCGGGATCAAGCACGGGAACACCGTAGTCCAAGAGCACGAGACGCGCTATAGCTTTACACAGTATTGCCCAGGGGGTCTCATGCGCTGGGTTGCCTACGGATTCAGACTTGGAAAGGAGCTGTCGGACGCTGAGAAGTTGCGGTTGGAGGAACGTGCTGGCGAAACTTGGAAGCAGCAGCTAGGTCGATTCTCGACCCCGGCAAGCTTAGCCCGCGATCGGCGCTGGGTTCGTCGACAGGAGAAGCGGGAGATTATAGGGCTCTCTTAATGGGCGCTGGGCGCCATAGCTTTGTATTTTACGATTTATGACTAAGCGAATGGAGAAGAGCACGACTGGGGTGTCGAAGTGGTACTAGAGCACTTAGAAAGATTCTTCACGCGCGGGCATCGCGTATGTCACATGACCGCGTCACTCGGCTCCGAATCGCCCGAGCGGAAATGAATTGTAGGCGCTTACCGTTGTGATCTTGCTTCTCTGCTTCGATGGTGTGCGTGTGAGCGACTACATCACATCTGCCTGCTTCATCGTCCATGGATCTCAACGAAGATGGCAAACGTCCACACGGCCTGTCATTTCCGCAAGAGACAGAATCCCCCAGACCTGCGAAGAAAGCGGCCGTTCCAACGCCTAAGACCCCTCGGACTCCCCGAAAAAACAGAGTTCGTACCCTTGGGCGCTCGAAGTCGTCTTCGGAGGCTGTGCTCCCGCCATCGGCTTCTAAAGTCGGCACTCCCCGGCGTACAAGGGGCACGAAAGTGAACTTCGTTGATGCAGCTACCACCTCGCGCGCGCGTGAGCGGAATGAAGCGTCTGGATCTAGTTCCACAACTGTCGCCCCTCCTACTACCCCGACGGCGACGTTTTCACCCGGACATGGCGGCCTGACGTTCTTTGGGCGTGATGTTCAATTCAGGAATACGGGGATCTCTCCTCTGTTCACCCGAAGTACGTGCGCTCCCGTTCGCGGCAGGAATCGAGCGCTGAATAGCCATAGGTCTACGGGAGCATGCTTTGCCTGTGCCACCGCAGGCCGTAGGCTCTAGTCCAACTCCTAACATGCGCGGTCCGTTACGAGTAGCTCCCAGCCGCGGACATAGCCCAACCCCTGATGCATCTACGGGTTGGTCGAGTTTGGACGTGTATACGCCGCAAGATCTCCCGGAGAGCGTGGCGGGGGATGTGTTCAACAAGGGCGTCAAAGCAGTAGCCGCAGTGGTCAAGGGATTTTCGCGCGTGAGTTATATTACGATGAATGGCGTAGGATGTATGCTGAAGAACGGGACAGAAATTCTCCGTCGTGGGCTGGCTTGCCGAGAGGCGAGAGGAGTCGCTACTAGAGATGATGCGTCTAGACGCTACGCCTCCGCAGGACGAGCCTTGCACCCTGTGTCGCATGGCGGGCAAATCAGGCCCTGTGCTCGATGCGGATGGAGACGAGGAAGAGGGTCGCGAAGGAGAGAGGGAGGATGGTGATCAGGACGCGACGGACGAAGAGGTGGAAGCAGCGGAAGTTCGGGGAGGAGTGGCAGCTCCGAGAGGAGACATACAAAGCTGCGGGGGACGGACGGACGGCGGCGCGGATGGCGCGACTGCTTCCGGAGGGCGTCAGTCTCGGGCTGCGTCAGCGCAGACTGGAGCGAGCGTGATGTGCAGGCCAGGCAGGGCCGAGTTTCGCTGTGAGGACTGTCGCTTTGCCGTGCTTTGTCAAACCTGTGTGGCGAGGTCGCATTTCATGACGCCGTTCCATAGGATAGAGGTGAGGGAGACTTTCTACTTTGGTGCACTTATAGGTGATCTTACCCTACGTATAGAAAGTCAACGGACCCTTTTGGGAGCGCGTACAACGCAAGGAAGACATCGGCATCAGCGTGCAACTGGGCCACGACGCCGGCGAGGAATGTTTCATGCCCAAGATCGTCCGTAACTTCTCTGTCATGCATACGAATGGGATCCATCGCATGACGGTGAAGTTCTGTCGCTGTCGTACTGGGGAACACTTGGACGAATACACACAACTACTGCGCGCACGGCTATGGCCAGCGACCATCGACGAGCCGCTCACGGCGACGACATTCGAAGCGATGGACGACTTCTCTAGGCTGTCACTGTTGGGGCGCTTGAGCGCCTACGACTACTACAAAGCTATGCGAGCGTGCACGGATGCAGTGGGATTACTCAACATCTTGGTATGTACCGCGCCCGACGGCTTGCATGCAAACATTAACAGTTATTCAGCCCCTCCTGAAACAGTTCACGCGCGGCGCTCGTCAATTTCAACACATCTTCCTGTTCAAACGGGCGGGTCGGGCGTATGAGGGCGGTATCTACAGCACTCCATCGGGCGCCTGTGCCATTGAGTGCCCAGGTTGCGCGCGAGATGGAGTTAATGTGAAAGACGGATACCGAAGCGAGCCCAATGCGTGCGTACCTCAGTTTGCCTTTGGATAATGTCTGATGGAAGCGCTCGGTGTGTAGCTGGGTGCACGACCGCCACATATGCGTCGACGCGAACTTCCGACTAGCAAATAAGCTCAATGCGTCTACCGACCAGACAGATCCCAGTCTGACGGATGGTAGGGCATACGTCGTCGCCTCCCAGGAGTTCAAGCAGTACTGCGATGAGATGGAAAAGGATACTACGAGGGAGAAGGTGAGCGTCTTCAGGTGCAGTTGCTAACGTGCCGGAAGCTGATGGTTCTCAAGCCGAGCGATTGCTCGCGTTTCGGTGCCATGGAGTTTGCGAATTCAAAGGGTGGACGATACATGAGGAGCACTGGGGTGGCTGGGGTGTTCTGCGCGCGCCACGACATGTTATTACCGCAGGCGATGGGGCAGCTGAAAGTCGGGGAGCGGTATGTGCGCTTCCGATCTGGTGTGGGCGCAAGCTAACAGGCGTCATATAGCTACAGCGTTGTCGACTTCTGCGTAGCGAACGCGCATCGCTACATCAATGTAGAGTGCGTCGTGATCTCATACGACATCGCCTGTCAATGGTCGAAGAACTTGATCAAGCGCATGAAGGCAGTGGATCCCAAGTTCACCACCATGTACGAAGGAGCGCGGAGCGTCTTGTCTAAGACACTCGACTTTGTGGTCCCCAAATTTCACCTCTTTGCGCACAAGGTGAAATGTTGGTTTAGCCGCTTCAACTTGGCGTACCTGCCGTTTGTGGGCCAGACAGACGGCGAGGGTTGCGAGCGATTTTGGGCAGGAGCCAACCCGGCGGTCAACAGTGTGCGGGAGATGGGTCCGGGCTCGGTGCGCGACCATTTCGACAGTATGTGGGATTCGTGGAATTTCCGGAAGGTCTGCGAGATGGGTACGTTTTGATTACGCTCGAGGGCGATCCGTCGGGTCTCTGAAAAAGCGCTCTAGGAGCGGCAACTCTGAAGAAGCTCACGCACGCCTTGGAGCAGGCCGAATCTCAAGCTGCAGAGTACAACGCTCTGCGGGCAGTGTTGCGAGCGGAGGATGCGAAGAGGGTGGATGCCAGGGAAAGGGCTGCCGAGCGGTGGGAAGCTGCGGGTCGGGTCGAGAAGGACTGCCCTTATCAGATTAAAGCGCCGGGTATGCTACTTAACTTGCGTTGATGGTGCCACTGGCTGATCGTACCGGGCAGACGTTTCGCTCTCGCAACTGAAGCGGGCCGTTGCGCAAGAGGATGCGCGCAAGGTGGCGCCCGTTGCTCCGCCAGACACACGCGCGAGCGAGCTTGCTGATGGCGAACCGGCGTCGGCAGAGGGGTGCGAGTGCGAGGGTAGCAGCTGCGATTGTAAGGATTCGGCTACGTGCAGCGAGCGTGACTGCCACGATGTCACAGGCGAGGAGACGGTGCAGAGTGGTGTTGGGAGCCTGGCGGAGCTAACGTCGCAATCGGCCAACAGCTTCGACGAGGTAGCCGCCGGGGAAATGTTGCGCTGGTTGCTAGTAGGGGTGAATATCGAGGACACTAGGTGCGTAGCTTCTGCGACAGTCGGGGAAGCTGGATACTTAGTGTTTGCTTCAGACGGCGACTCGCCGCGCATCTACCGGATGACGATGGCGCCGTCAGCACGGTCCTTGCGGGGGAGGAGACCCTGTTGGAATCACTCCAACAGTTTCGCAGGGAGCAGGAGCGCTTCATGCCGGAGACATTCCACAACCTCACGCCCGAGGAGCGAACGCCCGAGCTAGGCAAAGTCCACAGCGTCGCGCTACACTTGCCTTCCCAGCTCGGCAAGAAGGATGCCCCTGCTCCCAAGCCGGTCGCTGAGATGGAGGCCCGCGTGCGACTCGCTAATATGCATGGCGCGCTCGAGGAGCTCAAGCGCTTCCTTCACCTGCGCGTACAGTTCAACAAGTTCAAGATCCGACAAATCACCGGCCAACATATGAATACCACTGCGCGCGCGGCCCAGGAGACGACGGAAAAGCGGATTACTGGGGCTGCTGCGAAGTATAGACGTCATCGCGAGGCCTACCTAGCGTTGGTTGGACCGGATCCGAAAGGGTGGGAGGTGAAGTGGAAGGTGCTGCTACCGAGCGACTGCGTCGGCCTGGGCGATGCTGCAATCAAAGCGTTGGAGTCGATGGAACGCGGGGTGGCGGCAAAGGCGTTGCGAGATCACAGCAAGGGTACACGGAAGAAGCTTGGGGAGGTGAAGGGGAAGAAGAAGAGCTCCGGAACGAGCACCGCGCACGTCTCTTGGATCTGGTATAACGCCGGCGATCTCGGCGAGGGGCTCGAACTCACGGAAGGTACGCCTGACGATCTACTCTACGCACCATTTCTCTAGTTTACTGATATTCGTCGGTTAGATCTTTTAGTCGAGCTGCTCAAAGCGCGCGCGCGAGCACAGAGGTGGATTGAACAAGTTATACGCTTACTGGCGGAGTCCGATCGCTTGATCGAGACGGATTTACACGACGCCAAGATGTGGGAGGACCGGGCAGAGAAATGGGCGCAGGTGAAAGCAGAGGACTTCAACATGCGACGGCCAGCGGAGGAGGCGGGCAAGCCGGATGCGCCTTTGGACCGGCTAAGTATCTACGACGGTGATCAAGTCCTGATGGCGGGGCTGCGTGCGTACGCTTACAAGCAAGCTCACTACCGTCGGCTGCGTGCCAAGGCGAATATGGCCCTTCGGGAGACGAAGCGTAGGGTGGCGGAAAGATTTCTGAAGAAGTACGGCGTCGATGGGCTGCTACTGAATCGCGAGCCAGACCCGCCGCTAGATACCGACTCTGAGCCACCGTCAGATGGCGAGCCCGACGTTTGACTCACTGTGTAGTTTACCATTGGCTCCCTACTGTATTAGTTAAAGCCGCATATCTATATATAACTATAGTCATTTAGGGACAGGACACTCCTGCTACATTCGGGTATGACGTCGTGCCGTGAGGGGCTGTCAACGAAGTGTGACATAACGTCACGGGTGCATGGCCGACCCGCGTTCGCGTCCACCTCTGTCCGCCTCAACCATGGCTTTCGATACGATGATATCTGCCTTCTTGTGCGTGTTTGCTCCGTCGTACCTATAATGACAATGACTCACCAGCTCTGCTAATAGAGCTTGAGTGCTACACGCTCTTCTATGGAGCTCATATCGAACACTTGCTGTTACCTGAAGGGGTTTTCCGGGTCCCATGGTGCGTGGCAGAATCTACGCGCGAGATACGATCCGGCTCACACCAACTGTAGTACATCATGGTCGGGGATTGGTCTCGATTTGAAAGTGCCCGTTCTACGCTCGCGGTCCGACGGTGCGAGGATGCTCACCTTGCCGGGTGGATGGTATACTCCGTCATGTCTTGCTATGATTCGTGTCGTTGTTCGAGTCCCTGGTACTGTACCTAGCATCAGGGACAGGATCTACAATCTTGCAGTGCAGGCTCAATGGTCGTGGGCGCTGGTCCGCGTACGGGTTGCTCTCTGGTTTTACTGCTTGACCTCTTATTCGATCTCCCACCTGGAATTCTTATTCAACGCGTCATTTGATTACTTATTCGATCTCCCATCTCGAATTCTTATTCAACGCGCCATTTGATTACTTATTCGACCTGCTTAATCTCGATTTCTTATCCAAACGGTGTCATTTCGATTTCTTATTCAAACGGTGCCAGCTCGATTTCTTATTCGACCGTTGTCTTGATTTCTTATTCGAATGGTCATCCTGATTAAGTATCTGAGGCCATTTCGATTTCTTATTCAACCCGCCCTCTCGATTATTTATTCGTGTAGCCATACTTATTCAAGTTGGCAACGTTCAAATGCTCTCGTCCTACTCGTTCTGTGTGTCCCGGATACACGAATACGAGTGCCCTTGTTTGCCTATGGCCGTTCTCATGCAGGAGAGTCACCCATGAATATTCTATGAATATCTTCGGTTATTCATGATGGACTGAATAAGTAATCGAACAAGTTGAACTACTTATTCGTACTCACTTAAGATTTTATCTGCGTGACACTAGGTGTCGATTAAGTTTTCGTCGTAGCCCCCGGCTGCTACAAAACAATATTTCTATTGAATAAATCAGTTCCAGAGCTCGGGACTGCTTTTGGCAGGCAGGAAGTCATGTAGTCACTTGCTTTTCAATGTAGTCAAGTCAGCCTTGATTCTGGTACTTCGAGTGCATTGAGAAATCAAGTGACTATGACTTTTGGGGGTCCACGACCCAAATATATTGATGCTGCTGCTGACCATCCGCGTCGACGTCGTTCGTACATCGGACGGAGCGAAGTTCGCCGCGCGATGCTAGTAACCGGTCAGCGCTGAGGGCTAGACTAGACTCGGGACTGCAAGCTGCAAGGACTAGCGGCTGCAACAGGTCCTACGCGTTCGGCGGCCGCGTCCGATCAGACCATCAAAGATGTGAGCCTCGTGCTCGCAGTGGGCGCTGCACCTAGTGCGCGCAATCATCTGATACATTGTCCAGCACACTGTCCATCTTACTCTATTCTCATCATACAGGATAGCCACACGCGCGCAAGCGCAAGCGAAGATCGTACCTGGTCACCGCTCTGGCTTCGGTAGGGGCCGGGTAGTCCGGGTAGTCTGCTGGTATTAGCTATGCAGCCCGGCCGAGCATTATCTCGTGCGGGTGACTGGAGAGATCCCAGAACGTCCAATGCACTGCTGCTATTACAAGCGAGCATGTACACGAGCCGTACACCGGAAGTACTGCCATACTGGCCCGAGAGCACTGGCAGCAGCTCGAGATCCGCGCGAAGCCTGGGCTCGGAGGGCCCCGGGCTTCTAACGTCGGCCCGAGGCTGGGCCCGAACCTTGCCGTTCCGATAACTCCGAGCGGCGGCCCGCCGAGCTCAGACTAAGTTGCACAAATCTGCCTACTTGCTAGCTGCGTGTCTCTCTCTCGAGCCCTAGCGCGTAGCTAGACTTCTCGACGGTAGCGAAGATGCCTAAGAGCCCCGGAAATATGCGCACTCTCAGACAGCGGCACGCAGCAGCTCCGGTGATACGATCTTCTGCCGCGACCTCCAGGCTCCAGCTTGGCAAGTTGCCGCTTCTGAATCCGGATTTCGACGCGTTCTAATCGTCAACACTAGAACTAGCCTATGCCGAAAACTGTTGTGTTCCGGTTTGCCACTATTTTGCTGCCGCCACATGTGGCTGGACGCGCTCTGCAGACGATCCTAGTATCACAGTCATGCACAATGGTCATCATGTTGCGCGTACGGCAGATTGGATAACGTACTCCGTCGAAGCCGAGTATATCGGCAGGGTCGTTGCCGAATACGGTCCTTGTGCGTGCACCGACATACCTGTGATGCTTCCTGTAAACCCGCGTTGAACTCAGCTACGAAGGTCGGATGCATCGTAGCTGGACAAACCTTTGTCAAGGCACATGAAAGGGCCGCATTCGAGAAGCACCTGCTTACTTGCGGACGTTCACATCGTGTCTTGCCATTCACTCCATGGCCCGACCGTATATCCCGAAGGTTAGGCTATGGTGAGTCATACCCGCATAGATGACTGCAGATGACTCCTCCCGTCTCACTGCGCTTCCTACAGGCTATTATCAGGCGTCGTGCTTCTGACGAAGCGTTGGTCCTCCTTGAGAGTATCCTTCGACCTTTCGGATCGCGTTTCGTGCATATGTCCTATGAAAGACGCGACATTGTACCACATGCCGCTTTCCTTGGGTGGGCAAAATTCCCTATCCTGGCACGGATCGAACTTATCTTCCGCCCAGTATGGGAACCGCGTGGGCCCATGCCGCTTTGTACCCTTGGGAACATGGTTACTATGTTGGCGGTATAGAGACCGTCAAAGTCGACCTTATGCTCCGAGTCTTCTCGAACAAATGGCATGTCTACGCCGGTCTCGCGATCCTGAACCCTTTCGCCTGCGTCCAGATTGGGCAGTTCGCGCAGAGCGTGACAGACATCTTCAAGCTCGTGCTCGCTGCGGATAAGGAGGGCCCACGTACACGCATGTACGACGCCAGACAGCGGGTCTTCGGCGATATCGATGCGTACAAGCAAGGTCATCGCCCGGTCCTACTCTCAGAGGACATATTGGATCGATTTAGCCTGGGAAGGTCGCAGCGACATCTCCCTCGCAGTTCGACAGCCGCGATGGAACGCCTTCAGGTTACTACAGTCCTGAGCGTACCCCAGTCAACTCGCATCTATCGCTGCTAGCCGTGGTTGACTCTTGGGCGCACCTGAACATTCAGCCGACAGTCCACCTCGAACTCGCCGCTACACCCATCTTCCGTATGTGGTTTGGCGTCGCCGGGTACCTCTTTCTCTTCAAGGAGCGCCTGGGCAACTTGATACACGCCGCTCTCCATGATACGTCGCATCGGTACGATGACGTTGAGTTCGTCGTGGCTTCGCGTGGATGGAGTCAATGCGTCCTATCTGGGAGCTTCGATCTCTACAGGAAGGGGTTTGAGGAAACGGCCGACTTCTTCAAACCTCGCTTCGAGGAAGCGAATAAGGTCGGTCCGAAATGTTGAAGGCTATTCAGGATAAGGAGCCGATACTTCAGACACCGAGTACGCAGTAACTGGCCCATATTGCATAAGTTGTGTACTCAGAATGCCACAAAACCGCGCTGTAATATATATACAATGACATCGAGTTGATCCGGCACTGAATCCATAGTCCAATAATAGCCATACGTTGTCATGCTAGAGAGCATGCCTGCAAACCAGATGGAATCCTACGCGACATGCACGTACCCGGCCTCTGAATCCACGAGGCTCACCCAGAGCGGCAATCGCGGTACGTTATGAACCTTGTCTTTGAGGTGCGGTCGCGTGACAGCAGTCGACTTGAACTTGATGCTCGACGGGGCGATAGACATAGAGAGCCTGAAAGCGCGTACGAGGGTGTAGATGATTGCCTTCATCCTATAGATGCCGTGAGCAGGTGTGAACACGATCGACTAGGAGACCCTCGTGCTCAATAACCGAGAACCTGTTCCCAACGCACGCCCTCGCTCCTCCGGAGAAAGAGAAGGTGTTGCCCCATATGCCCGGGATAGACGCGGCAGCTCGCGGGACGCCCTTCGCCCAACGCTCAGGCTTCCACTCGTTCGCGTCGGCACCCCGTATCTCCTCGCTCTTCGAGAGGGCCAAGAAGGGGAGGAAGATGGAATCGCCCTTGGATACCCTACGCAGAGAGTAAGTGGCAATCAGCAGCCAGCAATGCGGGTATATGCTCACGGTACTCCGCGGTAGGAATGACGTCGTCCTTCATCTCAAACGCGAAGTGTGTTCGAGACCGGCGAGAAGAGTCTAAGTCGCATCGTCTCACGAACGACGCAGTCAAGGTAAGGAAGTCCGTCGAGCGTCTCCATGCTCGGTTCGTCAAAGCTCTTCCCAGAGCCTATCTTGTGCCTCTGCATTCTGGGAGAGCGCGTATAGAATCCAACTTACGGCCGTGAACGTCGTTTCGTGACCTGCCAGCAGGGATGTTGGCACCCATGATGAGCGCGTCAGGGCTGGCAACGTGCGAAAGGAGTAAGGGGCAAGAACCTGAGCCAGGACCTCTTCATCCGTCATACGGCTGTCCTCGGGAATGTCACTGGCCATGTTATCGCGTACAAGCAGCGATAGCAGATCCTTCCCCACGACGTCTTTGCGTTGTACCTTGCTCTCTCCGGACGCGAGAACAGTTCCCTTACGCTCTGCAAGGAACTGCTTGCCCACACGATCCAAGATAGCGCGTGCCTCTGCGATCTCAACGTCTCTTTTGCTCTTCTGTGAAAGTTTGAGCTACTCGGTTGCAAGGCGGGGACAATCACGAACGCTTGACTTACAACAACGCGCGTCGCTGGGATGAGGATGTGAAGTATGTCTAGTGTGGAAGGGTTCTCAGGGTTCTTCAGGAGAGTTCGTATAGCTCCATTAAGCTCATGGTAGCTTTCGTTGGGACTGAGCGCATCGAAACTGTGATTGAACCCTGGAGCAGCGAGATGTGAGCGCGTGTATCATACACCAGTCTCACGAATATGCATACCTGCTAGTCCGATCACGTCTAACGTCGTCTTGTTGAGCCACGAAAGCACCTCGATCTTTCCGGTCGATGGATCGTCCGTCGAGCTGCTTCTCCTACAAGTTCGTCGCTCAAATGCCATGTAGCTATTGTATATCAGCCAACCCCGCACTCCATGAACCGATGCGCTTCATACCTGTATCAACTTTAAGAGGAAGATACCGGTAAGCTCACGAATCTGAGGCAAACCAAATGCTGGGCTCTGCCTCGCGTGTCAGCAAGACTTGGCGTCTTCGGGGCATTACTTCCGCACCATAACGCGTCGCTCTATCGGTGTATAGTCAGCTGCCACGCTCGACTGGCGAAGTGAGCATATAGCTGACCTGCTGCTTGTGCGTTTCTCCCTCGACAGACAGTGGACCTGCATAGCCATACGTTAACGCGTGAAACGAACCGTTGCATCATCTGGACAATCACCATTCCCTAGCATGGTACTCGGCGCATGACGGATCGGTGTAGACTTCTCATAATCCATTGGACGAGCCAGTATATGACCCACGGCCCGAGTATCCATGATACTCAACCTCTCACGCTATCTCGCCACAGCATGTTAGCCCTCTGGCATCACTTATGAAGGAAGTGCGAAACTGACGTCGAGGAGCATCTTGTACTTGACCACCGGCCCGTACTGCTTCGCCCACTTCACATGCAACTCGCAAGGGTCAGCAGCGATGCTTACGCGTAGACATCCCATGAAGATCGCATCAGAGGGCGGGCCCAGCACACTGCGCAGAGGATAGAAGAACGGGTGCAGGGTTCCCTGAATGAAGTGATGAATGTCCTTCCCGGCGAGGGCGACGACGATAGCCGCGAAGGCGGCAAGAACCTATCCGATCATGGTGTTGGTTTACAAGAGTGGACTACAGCCTTCTAGCGGAACAACAGCTTGACGGTCAAGAGCAAGAGAAGGCGTCCTTCGCAGCGCCTAAAGTACACGATCAAAGGATGAGTGTCGTTGCATGGGAAGAAATAGTGGTTTGTACACGCATACATACCGCCGGCAACGCGTAACCGCGTCGTCAAATCAGCTGTTCTAGGTCCCGTAGCCTGTATTGATAAAATGAGGTCCCATCCTGTGCATGGCCGTCAGGAGCAAACCGCGGCCTGCGGCTTCCTCATCGTGATGACATGATGGTGGCCGTGTGGACCATTGTAGGTGTACGCGTGCCCATCATATGCGTTAGCAATAGGTGCAGACTCCAATCGGATTGTATAAGCAGACAAAGACGTTAGAACAAGCGATAACCGGTACTCTACAGTCCAAATCTAATAAAGCGCGTACGCGCGCCGCGCAGAGAGCAAAACAGACGATTCGACATGAGGACGACTCAAGAGTCAGATATTTGGGTCAGGAGACAAGACAGGAGGGAATATATGGCACATGGGAGGGAACCGTATGGAGACGAGGGCATATGTATGGTTGAAGAGTGTATGAAACTCAGATGGGTACTACTGCGGGCTGGCTGACGTATGGTCCGCGTTCCCGTTCGCGACTGGGGGATAGATAATGCCGTTCAGACGGTCATTGACCATCCTCCTGCGCTGCCTATTCTTTCAATGGACCTCGAAATCGCTCAGCCCGAGCTCGCCCTCCTCATTCGGCTTATACAACTGCAAAGAGTAATTAGCCCTTGTCATTCCTCAAGACCTTATCTCACTTCAAAGCTCACCTTTCCGGGACAATCCACGCACTTCAACCTCCACTCCTTCTCGCCGTTTCTCCCCGGCCGGTCGACGACTTCGAACCGGTCATCGGGGTACTTCTTTCGCGTGTCCTCCGTTGCCTGGATCAGCCACTGCGGCGGACGCTCAATACCTCCCATGGGCTCATCCACATCCCCTGGCGCACCCGCATCTTGCTCAGGTTGTTCAGGCGAAGGTTCAGGCTTCTTCTCGTCAGCCTCCTCTTCTTGCTCGCCTCCACCCGTCGCAGGCGTTCCAACGTCCTCCCCGACGTTCGCTGTCGCGCCGCGCCGTCTGCCCCGTGCGGCAGCAATGCTGAGCGGTGCCTCGCTCGTGCTCGAGCTCGTCCTGGCAACGCTGTTCGCTCGTCCCCTTCTTGTTGGGTTTACCCGGCGTACTCTCCTCCCTCTGCACACTGCCCCTTCTCCTCCGGCCCGCATTCTTCGCCTTATCCGCGTCCTCCTTGACCTTCCTATGGATCGCCGGATCCGCGTTGTAGGTGACCGGACGAGCCTGTGATGGCGGTGCCAGAACTTGCCGTACGTCCCACACTGCGACTTGTCGCCCAGCGGACCTTTACGACGACCACGGCGATATTCTCGGGACAACCGCAGTTTGAGCAGTGCCAGACGCCATCAATCATGTTCGGATGTTGACCGTCCGCGGATTCGCGCTCGAGCTCCTTCGCCCGGCGGGCGCTGAAGTAGCCGGCGTGTCCGCTGCGCGTGGTAGGAGGGGTATCGGGCATGGGCACGGGCGGATCGTCTGCAAGTGGCGGAGGAAGAGAAGCAGCATCCGCAGCGGTCGTGCGTGTTGGCATCGGAACACGAGCGCGAGGATGAATGGCGGCGGGGTCGTACGAAGGAGGCTGGAAGTGACCCTTGGTTTGCTTCTTCTTCTCCTTGGTAGCCTGCGCGGCTTGAGCCTGATTATGGGCCTGGTTCGCGCTGGCGGGAGCACGAGTAGCGACAACGCCAGGACCATCTTCCCCGCGATTCTCATTCACAACCATGTTCGCAATGGTGAGACTGGCGGCAGCAGCAGCAGCACGGCGACCGGCCGGTGCAGCAGCGGCCTGATTCGCGGCGAGCATGGCCGGGTCGATCTCGGGAAAGCCGATAGCAGGTGTACGTGCCGGCTTGATGGGCGCGCGGTCAGGCAGAGCAACGCCACGCCGACCACGGGTGTTACGCTTCTTGCGACGTGCAGCATCGCGCTTACGTTCCTTGTCGTTATGCTCAAGTTCAGAGTCGGAGAGGTAGTTTAGGGGCGGCGTAAACGAGGAGACTTGGTCGATCGGGCGGGCTGCGCTGGCGAGGGACGGGAGGAACGACATGCGGAGGTCCTCGTCATGAACGGCCGAGCCATTGCTTGGATGGCCGACGAGGAACAGATTCTTCTGGTATGTCTGAGCCTGCTCGCGGATACTATTTGCAATGGCGGTTTTGAACTCCCGACCAAGGCCTAGATCAGCAGCGCAGACCTCCGCAAACTGTTCAGGCGAAGCGCCGGTATTGGTGATATCCCACTCGAACTGATCGTCGAGCTTGATGCTATAAATGGTGATCTCGAGCTTGACGATGATGCGCAGCTCCTCCCGCGCGTCATCGTCGTTCGCCGCCAGTAGCAAGCTAGCAGCCGTGCCGCCCGATAGGCGCCGGCGCTTACGGGCACGCCACATGTCCCAAAACTTGGCGTCTTCGGCTCCGGGATCTAGAGGCCCATGCACGGGACCCCACTCGTCGTCCGCGTCGCCTTCGTCGGCGTGGTGGGCCTGGAAGTCAGCGAGCCGGTCGGTAGCTTGATTGGCGATTCTCGCAACGTAAGCAGGCGCGAGCTGGTAGTCGTCGACGACTGTCTGCGCGGAGGCGTCGGGCGATACAACGTTGTCTGGGAATACGAGTTAGCTTACTCCTGTATATCCGCTTATGGTATCGGGTTTACCGTTTAGGTTCCAAACGAAGGTATCGCGAAGTTTATGGTGCTCGACATCGAGTTCAAGGCGGATAGGCACCAGTAACTCAGGCCTGTCGACGTCTTCCTTCCGCACCCCGACCGGTCTGTTCTGTCGTCAGCCTTCAACGGCCAAAATGGGATATTCGAAGAACTTACGCAGCCCGCCCCTCGCGTCCCTGCGCTGCGCCCTTCTTGCCTCTGACCGCGCGTTATCTCTCTTTCTCCCTCTTCTCCCTCGCCTGGCCAGGATATATGATGGACCACTTCGTTCTTGGCCTTTCCTGGTAGTCATTCTCCTCCCACCATCCCGTCAAAGCGCGCTTCGCGATCTCCTGCTCTTCATGCATCCGCGTCTTCATGTCCGTCCATCGGCCGTAATCGGCTTTATCGGCCTTTATCGGCCTCCATCCAACCCTTGACTTCTGCGACTTCGTCCTCGCTCATAGCGGTGAAGTCGTCGGGCTTGACGTAGCTCACGCGCGTCGTGGCGCGTTCGAGGGTCGTACCGTGGACCGTCGCTTCGGTCTTGGCTGGTTTGGGCGGTACAGGTGCCGGCAGAGCAGCCGGTTTGCCCGCACGCGAAGGCGGAGGCAACGATTCCGACTGCTCTCGTTTCGGCACCATAGGCGACGTTACGGCTGCAGCGGCGGCAACCATGGGATCGGGGACGCGGGGACTTGGCATCTGGCTTATGGCGCCAGGCATACCGCCGATGGATGCTGGGCCTCCCATTCCGCTCATCATGCCGCCTACGCCTCCAACAGAGTTCATCCCGCCATTAGGACCCACTCCGATGCCACCCATGGGACCCATGCCCATCGTCGCGTCAGGGCCCGTACCAAACCCGCCGCTGTTTGTGCGGCGGCGAGGTGAACCGCCTGGGCCCATAGACATCTGTGGTAGTCGTACAAAGGGCGCTGTTGGGCTTCCAACACTTAAACTGGCGGCAATCGTCGGGCGCGAAGGCGGGAGCATGTCACCAAGTGCGGGGGGCTGCGGTGGAAGGTGGGCTGTACCCGGACGAGCGTTGGGCGGGCGAGGCGGAGGCGGCAGAGGCATCATCACGCCGTTGGTGCCCGTGCCCATGCCCATGTTTACGTTGTTCAGGCTGTTCATGGAGTTCATCTGCATGCCCATACCGGGAGCAGAACCGGCCGACGCGGTTGAAGAAGGGCGATTGGAGTCGAAGAATGCGGTCGAGGGCTTGGGTCGCCTATTGGTGTGCTAGTATGCCTTGGAGGTTGGATTGCTGCTGGTGAAGACCAGAGTCGCGGTGCTACATGCCAGGGTTGTCCGAGAAGCCTTGGTTCTGTTGAGGGTTTGGCGTCGGCGCAGAGTTGAATCGCAACTGCTGTTAGTTGCTTTGCGCTTGGGCCTGTGCGACGAGACGATATTAGTACGCTATATATGCCGTATTGAGAAGACAGATATACGTTACGCTTGGCCGCGAGCATCGCTTGGAGCTGCTCCTCTGTGAGCTGGCCGAGGAGGTTGGTGAGTATGCCTGCGATACCGCCGCCCATATTTCCTCCAATATTTTGTTGCATGTAAGGGAGAGTACGGGATGGCGTAGTAAAGCCGAGAGCCCATGATCACTTGACGCGGGCGGATAGGCATTCGAGCGGATGGTCGTTGGAAGGCTATACGCTTGTGAGAGGTTTAGTACATCAGTTTCTCGAGGAGCGAGAGCAGGCTATTAGACGTACATCCTACTGATCTACTCGACGTAGAGCCACACTGGCGGCAAACTCCGCCACCATTCAGCTCATGAGAAGCCCTTCCTTGAGACATAGAATGCGGTATCTGAGCTGTGGTGCTCAGTCCAGTCCAGGCAGTCCTGACGCGTCGAGACGAAATGGAGCCTACAGTCGATAAAGCCGAAAGAAGCCGGGAGGATATATGCGCCGCAGACAAAGTCAATAGCATCATAGAATACGTCTACAAGGTGGTGGAGCCGCAGAGCGCGTCAAGGCGTTCTGGTAGGTGGATGAACGTTGAACGTTGAACGTTGAACAGCGGTCGATGACCACCTGTGCGCCGTTCGGCAACGCCCGCCGACCCTTACGCACGGTCGAAAGCGACCGCTCTTTTTCCTCGAAAGGTGTGGTTGCAGGGCGTAAAGTTTGTTCATTGATGCGTTCTTTCAGGTACTTCGTAGGCAGCCTCGCCTTCGGCGAATGGTACAGTAGTGTTCACAAACATGGCCCATTGGATTACATTTGCTATCTGCTAACTAAACCGTACTAGTACATATACTCGATACCATCAGTACAAGCCTTCTTTCATCTCCTGCTCGCGCACCCACTCGCGGTCCTCATCGACTTCCCAAACTTTCGAGAACCGCGCGTACTGCGCAGCCCATCCCTCGCCCTCGTTCTCGTCGAGCTGAGCCCTGACATCCGCCGGGATGTCACCAGCAGGCTTGAAGCCGTACGACACCCATCGCATCAAACCGCCGACACAGTACTGCGTGAACGAGTATCTAGTCTCGCCTGGCTGGATGGCTGTGTTACCGTGCATTAGCCCGGCGGAAGAGAGCAAGCACGATGCGCCCGCTGGGAATGGAACATAGAGTCGCAGGCCATGAAGCACGCAATGTCCGCCGTGCTCCGCATCGAAGTCGCCGAGGGCGGTGATGCAGCACGGGCAGCCAGGATAGTTCGTGAGGTCGTGGTGGCCACAGCACTCCGTGCTCGGGCCGCAGTTTGCACACGCTGTGGTGTAGACAGAACGAGGAAACGGGGGGCGCAGGCTTGAACGCCATGAGTGCAGGCGAGCCATCTTGCAGCGCACATGGTGGTACGCCTTTGGCTGATAGGAGGCGAATATTTCTGTTGTCATGATGAGAAGTGTATCCGTACAATCCTAGGCGTATTATAGGCCCACCACTTTGCCAAGCTGCTAAACGCCGCAAGTTCGGGCTTTCCTTCAGGCGGTCGACGAACTCGACTGCCGCCTGGGGCGGGCTCAGCGGGCGGGGCTCCTGGCAGGGGCGTCGATAAGTTAGCACATATTGAGCATTCGCCACAACGATGCACGCACCTTCTGGCCTCCACCGTACGATATTCCGAAGTTGATCGCGATGAACTTGCCTCGGCGCCCATCGCGCGAGCTTGACGGCAGGTTGAGATCCTGTGCAGCACCAAAGTCCGCTGCGAGCGCGTCGCACATGGCTTCGAAGGATGCGGCCTTGTAGAACGCCTTTATCGGCGAGGAAGATGTCTCAGTTGAGCGCGACGCAGTGCCGGCGGGATCAGACGCGGTGGAGGGAGGAGCAGACGTCTGTGGCTTGTCAGGGTCGCCGAGTGCATCCTTCTGGCTGTCGTCGCGGGGAGGAGGCACAAACGCCACAATGATGGCCTCCTCTTCGTCGAGAATGAGCAAGGTATGTCTGCAATATCCCATCAGTTGCTTGAAGGGTATAGAGTAAGCTGGGGCCGTACACGCCATCCCACGGGATCTTCTTGAACCCAAGCTCCTTCAGCTCGGCCTCCGTAAGAACGCGGTTCAGCTGCTTCTCCTTCGTACGACTCCCTGTATACGCCGCGCGAGAACAGACTGAGAACTTGACTTCGCCATGTTCGTCGCAAACGAGGACTTCAAAGGCATGCGGCCGCTCGTAGTAGGTGGTGTGGTGCTTTTGCCAAGGGTGGCCGTCGTCTCCACCCCTCTGCTCGCATCGTTTCTTTGCACGGCGACGGTTTGCTGGCTTTTGCACGCCGAGAGGGATTAGCGCTTTGGGTTTACGAGGCTTACGAGCACGAGACGGGCCGTCCAAGGGATTAGCGCCGCTAACTACCGTACGAGGCTTCTACAGCAAGTTTGCGTCAGTAGATTGACCCCGCCGGTGTATATGTTAGCGCACCTTCTCCTGTGAGCCTCCCAGCCCGTCGTCATGTGCCGCATCAGTACCGCACTTGCGCTTGGAGGCGCTTGGCGTGGGTGGTGAAGCCTGCGGCGCTTCATCTTGAACCTTCGCCAGCCGTTCCCGGAGGTCAGTCGCAGAGAAGGCAGCCTTCAGGCCCGACACCGCGTCGCACGAGGGAGTCCCAACCCCGGAAAACGAGGTAGGTGACTCTGGCGGTGTGCCAGCACTGTCCTCGAGCTGGTCCATCCATCTATGCGCTGCAGGAATGGCATATCGCAGCATAGCGGCAAAGTCGAAGCAGGTTTTGACGTGCTGAGCGTATTCGACCTTGATAGCACCACCGGCGGCTGGCTCTGCGTCATGAGAGGCTTTCATCCAAGCATGGTCTAGCTGTAAGCGTCAGCGAGCTTACTGTGGAAGACGAAACACAGGGTCAAAGCTGTCAAGCCACTATACGACAAGTGCGAAACCATTTGCCAATCAGAGGCTACATAGACGCGTTCAAGCTCCCCTGCTGAAAGCGTACTAACGACTATGTAGCATGCAGAGCAAAAGGAAGTCGAAATGACTGGCTCGTAGGCCTTGAGAATAATGCATACCTTTTGTGCGACCGTGGTCAGAACCACAGGCTTGAGCACTCTGCTGATGTCGACACATGTCCTAGGGGACCAGATATCAAAGTCGTTCCCTTGCGTAAGCGAGGCTCTCGAGGAAGGGTTGACGTACGAAGATCTTGTGCAGTGACCGTGGCTGTATGGGTATGAGTCGGGACGGATGCGCGCGAGCCATAGCCAGAAGTTCGTTGACTCTGTGACAATTGTGACTTGACGCGATTGCCCGGTGCGAACGACGCGACTGCCACAGGCCACCATGGGCGCGAACGGATTTGTCCCCAACGTTCAAGTCGAGAGAACGGGTGACAGCAAGGGTTCGCTCAAACAGTATCGCACAGAATACGACTGCCTGCATGATGGCATCTATCTTGTCACTGTTGAATTAACGAGGGTGTAAGCGCGAGCGACGCGGGCTGCCAGCGACGCGTCTCGATGTGCGAAGGAATACCGCACGATGCTGACTTGACTGTTCTCACCCTCGAGCCCGCGATGTATACCTGTGCTCTGCGCAGTGCCGTTGTCAAGGTTCGGTTCACGGTCACACGCTAGTTCATCCGCTCGACCAAGACCTGCATGTTCCTGGCGGACATTGAGAAGAGCTATCCCCTCGCCCAGCGCCCTCAAGAGACTGCGTCCGAGAAGAAACGCACGTACTCTGGACACGACTTCTGCTGCTGCAACAAGCGCGCCAAGGCCGCTTGAATCGTCCACTTCGTTTTGGCAGTCTGCGTCTGGCGCTTGCTAGTTGTGGTTTACCTTGTATAGCTCACTATTGTATTTGCTACTCTCTCTAATAGTTTGCCGCTATGGCCTTTTCTCTGTGCTTATTCTCGCGAACTGCGATCTATTTCGCACGCACAAGCACAGAACAGGGAATAATCGAGTGAAGGGGTCCACGAAATCGCGCCCGGCGCGCGCTCAGACACCTAGTAACCGCGGCTTCGCGGTTGCCGCGACGCTAGGCCCATATCACATTGCTCAGTTGGAGTGCTGGTCTCTACTCTAAGTGCTGATTCGGTCGATACAAATGTCTCATTACTAGGTACGATAGGTGATTGACAGCATCATCTCAAGCCCTTTGTATAGCCAATGCTTCTTCGATAAGCGTCTCTCCACGACCGCCATGAGATCTTCTCGCGGACTGATGGCTGTGATATCTGGGAATGCATCGGCCACCTCCTTCACCACGGTAATCCACGGGAGATCGGGATGAGGAAGCCAGTAATACCTTGGAACGTCAAGAACGACCGTTTGGACTAAGAGCTTGCTGGCCAAAGCCCGTCCCACGGTTCGAAGTAAGATCCACCAGTCAAACGCGCCATTCCACCGGACGCGTAGACTAAAAGTCGGCGTTGTAGGTCGCGCCCTTGGGGTGCTGCTTGTGACTGCTTCAGCGTGCATGTCGAAGTCGACCATGTCCGACAAGAGAAGGACGTTGGCTTGGTCCTTCGTGCGCTGGAAATCACGGTAGCGTATATGCAGAGTGTTGGATTTTTTGTCTGATTCATTCAATCAATACCGCCCAAGACTACGTGAGTCGTACAGGCACGCACCACATAAACTCGAAAGCATCTGCCATGCATTCTCTAAGACAGTGGGGTTGACATGGGTGTATTCAAGGTCCACTATGAGGCGCATCGTCACACCATTCTTGAAGTGGATGGCCTGTAATAGTGCGAGCACAGAGGTAAGGTCGCCGTTGATGCATAGTGAGCGGAGGGCGGGAAGTGCTACGGGGTCCAGCGTCCGTGTTGTACCGTCCAACTTGAATGCCCGTGAAACTTCTATATCACGTAGCGTATGACAGTGGGGGCGTATGAGTGTGCGGATCACGGTCTGCAATCTCGGAACGGCGCTGACGGCGGAACAATGAACGCGCCGTAGGTGCAAACTCTCCAGAGCTTCTGCCTCCACGGGCAAAAATATATTGGTTAACGACAGCGTCTTGAGCTTAGGGATGGATATCGTCACAGCCTGAAAGCCTGTGGACTCTCTGAATGGTTGTCAGCATGAGAAACTTGCTGCAAACACTCGCCGTACCTGCAAAACCGGACGAGGCGATGATCCGTGGAATTGGCTACCCCCACGCGCAGCTCCTGCAGCACGGGCAAGTCCCCGTCGCGAGCCAAGTGGATGATGTGTCGGAGATAAGAGATCACGTCGCCGCGGTCCTCAAGAATGATGGTACCGCACGTGCGGAAGTCGGATTGAAGCAGCATCCCATATAGAATCGAAGCGCTGTGTTTGATGGAACCCTGAAATTTGGGTACGCAAGGTGAGATTTCGAAGGTCGTCATAGACCCTGCAGCCCGGCGAAGGAAGAGGAGGCGCTGGCTTGGGACTTGGGAGAATGTACTGGCCCAGATAGCATGGTCTCCTTCTACTAGGCGCCTCCATCTCACACATACCCACAACACCACCATCCAGCCTCCAGCACGTGCGACTTCGCGACTCGCGTTTTCAGGGGGGTCTCTCCAAGCGAGCTCACGGAAGATGAGCAGGAGCACATCATCCGGCAAGTGGAAGATCAGAGATCTGGCTCGTGAGCTACCGAAATCATATGTAAAGACTGCACTCACTGTAGCGCGTTCATGGTCTGCCTTGCCCCGCTCAAGAGATGGCTGAGCCGATTGATGGTAGAGGCCAGCGCCGACACCGCGACAAACGCGTCCTCGTCATGCCGGGACCAGGCGAGACTGCCCAACTCTGCGAAGACGTTGGCACAGTGCAAAGCTTCGTCGCGAAGATCACTTCCGGAGTTTAGCGATGCCATGCTAGACCTGTGACTCAAATACAGCGTACCTAAGGTGTTTACTGTCAAGGGCCATGGTGTGTTGGAGGAAAGACGATGGCGGTCGCACCAGGTCACCTACACCATCCACCGTATTTGAGGAATTTGTACTCACAGCGTCATAGGGTGCAAGCAGAAACGAGAACTCAACCGGCCCAGACATCGCCGGATGGCAAACCAGTCCGGCCGGCCTGAGATAGGGTTTCGTATAACCGATTCACCTGAGAATCAGAGGCGCAGGGTAGCGAACGTAAGAGAAGCTTAAAACTGGTGCAGTTCGATTGCCGGGACTTCTAAAGAAACAAGGAATAGGTCGCTGCAAAGCTCGCCATGATCTAGCACCGCGGACTCTCGAAGAGCGGAACCTCCTCAGCGCCGAATGACCGAGTCGGATCACGAGCGGCAGCTACCTTGCAATCAGCAGACAACCGCCAAATAAAGCGAGGCGAAGTAAATGTGCACAAGAGAGCGCAGTACGATCACCAACGTTGCAGTGCGTTTCTGGCGTGTGGGCAAGCGTCCAGTTTCAGGCTCGCGCACGGACTTGCTGGAGTCATGCGGTTCGTACGTATCGCCGGTCTAGAAAAGGATAACATCTAGACGGGCTGGAGGGTGCATGATTCGTATGACCTATGGTGCGTGAAGGCTCGATGGTGGTTGCGGAGAAGCCCGAGTCGCTACCGGCCCTGACCTTATGTCCGAACGGTCCGACGTCGGATAGTGCCGAGGAGACTCTGTGGCGGGCGCAGGGCGTCGACTGGCTTCGACCAAAACCACCACGACGGCCGACATCGGAGGTGGCCTACCGCAGCCGCAGGAAGCTACTGGCTATCCAGCCCATAGCGACGCTTCACTTCGTTCTGGCCGTGAGGACCGCGAAAGCCGTCTGGTCTGGTCGCGACGGTTGGAGTGTTCGTCTCGGAATGGCCAGCGACCCAGTTGCGATCCGACCATCTCTAGGTAGGCAGTTCCGCCCGGATTTGGCGCAGGCGCACCGCTCATGTCCTTTGAGCAGACCTGGTAGGCGTACGGCCTCGGGATCCTCCTCTTCAAAGGCCGCAGTCTTGCGGTCCTGCCGGCTCCAGCAGTTCGGTTCGCCCTACTCCGACTGTCGCCAGCCCTTGACTATTCAGACCCGTCCTCTCGCTCTTTTACACGCGTCATTCTATCGACCGTCTGCTTTGACTTTCACGCGAAGGCTTGATGGAATTGAGCGCGTCACAGGCTCTTGAAATAAACGAACGAGTGTAAGTCTCGTCTGTCCTTCGTCTTGTGGTGGCTCTGGGCTCACGGCTCTCCTTTCTTTCTGCTCAGTACGACCGTCCTCTCGAGCTGCGCACCGACATCGCGTCGGCTCGCGTTTGCTTTCCTTTCCATGCGAGCCGTTGTCGCCGCCTTGAATCTTCCTCCTCAGCGACCGAGCTGGAGCTTCACCGTCCTATGAACGAACGTACGCGTAAGTCACGTCTGGCCTTCGTCTTGTGACTCTGGGCTTATGGCTCTCTTTTCCTTCTGCTTAGCACGACCGTCTTCTTGAGCTGCGCATCGACATCGCGTCGGCTGGCTTCATCGGCGAGCACCGGCTTCGTCGGCTCTCCCTTTCGTGCGGCACATTCCAAGTATCGCTGCGAGATCATCGCCGCTCTTCTTTCAAGTGTTGTCAGCGTCCCCGTGGATAGGAGCTTGGGTCGGCTCTCACATCTCACCTTCACGACGTCGCGCTCGACATTAGAGAACCCGTCAACGAGGACCTCGCTGTTGAATACGAGGAGCGACGCGGATCGGCAGAGGTTGTGGGCCGAGATCGGGCACGCGTATGCGCTGGCGTATGTGGATCGGTCGAGGCCGCACGATGTGATTCTTGCGGAGATGCAGGCGAGCCCGGAGAGGGTGCCGGCGTTGGCGCTGTTGGAGATCGCTGCGGCTGTTAGTCTGACGAGCGCGGACGCGCATGTGAGCAGGCTGGCGCCGCATACGTTAAGGTTGATCGCGATTGCGGAGAGGCAGCCCGGTGCGCCGGTTAATACGAGTGTGGGGGAGGTGGATAGGGGGAGGAGGTATCCTGTTCATGAGCAGATCGGTATGCGCACCGTCTCCTTACTTCCACCTACACAAGTACTAATTCGCTGTAGGCGATCCGAGGCATCTGTGGACAGGAAGGCTGCCGTGGCAAAAGCATATCCGCAAGCATTTTGCGACGCTTTTGTTGTCGCAGCCATACTGCATTGCAGGGTGGAACGAATGCTACTTCCGGTTCGTACTCCCATATCATGCTCTTGACTACGTACTGAACTCGAGGGTACTTGGTAGATGGTGTGCTCTCACCGAACCCGTCATCCGCCCGCCCGCCGAAGGACTCGAACCAGGCGACGCCCTCGCAGGCGAACTCCCAGGCATGAACGGCTACACCTCCGGCCTTCCCCCACCCACGCCCTCCTCATCCACCCTCGCCACCACCAACGGCTCATCTTCCAACACACCCACAAAGTCCAAACCCGATCTACACGCCGAAGAGCAACGGCAGAACTGGCAGCACTTGATACTGTTCCTTGCTGCAACGGGCGGCGCGTGTATCGATACGGACGGCGGACACGATCCAGGCGCGCTTACGAGTCTCGTGCCGACTGAGCTGTTCCCGGATATGATGAGGGTTTTAAGAGATCCCCGAGAGCTCGTGGGCGCGTTCATCCGGTACCTCATCGACTTGCTGCTCGTCGAGAGCGAGATCGCGCGCACGACGGCGCTCTTGGCCTTAGGCTCGGAGTTGCATTTCAGGCTACACCCCAAACTTCTACGCGTGCTGGACGATGTCGTGCACAGCGTCGTCAATGTCGCTTCCTCGTCCGGATCGACCAGCACAGGACGGTTGGAGTGGACGGACCAGCACGCGCCGTTCTTGAATCAGGTCCTCGGCGTGCTGCATCTGTTCAGTAAACGGTTGGAGTTTATTCCGGCGCCTGGGTCGACGTCTGGCGAGCTGTTGAGCGTGGATCTCACGCCGACGTTGTACGCTCTGGCCGGGTTCATCAATCGGTTCCCGCTCTCGGGCGATGTGCCCCGTATGCGCACACGACTGTGTTTCTTGGCGGATGGTCTGTGCACTCTACCGGGCCCGATGAGAGGTGCAGGCGGAGAGGGCGCACTACGACAGCGGATGTTGGACGTCTTGCTCGAGTGGATCCGCGCACCCGAGGGTGAGAGACGGTGGGAAGGAGAGCAGCGGGCATTGAAGCTCGCCGCACTCAGAGCTAGCGTGCACTTCCTGGATCGCTTGACGTTGAGGGGCGGAGTTGATGGCGGACTGGTGCATGGGAATCAGAGTGGTGGTGCGGGGATTGGAGGCGGGATTGGCGGGGGTGAGGGGAGGGGCGCGGAAGAGGCTGGGCATGTTGCGGGGAGGCCGTTTTTGAGGTACAGTAGTGTGATTTTGAGGAGTTTGGATTTTGTCAAGCAGGTATATCTTTCCTCTTCGACTGATTGAAGAGTTGTATGTTGATGATGTTTCACAGCCTGTGGACGACGGCGCGTCCGAATCCTCCGTATTCTCCAACACCAAACGCACGAACGGCTACCACCACGGCCTCTCGGGCCCGGGCCCCTCCAACAACTTTCTCCGCGACAACAATAACCGCGACCGCCTCCAAGAACGCGACAAAGACGCCGACGCGCTTGAAGCGCGCAAGCAGGTCGTACGCGCGCTCGCGAGGCTCGTGGGCGCCAACCCCGAGGCGGGCGTCAAGCATGCGCTTTCGCACGCGTATGATACCGATCCTGGGCGGAGGTTAATCTTCACGAAGGTGTTTTCGAGGGTTATGGGGCAGGGAGCCAAGCTGGATGCGCCAGAGCCGGTTAGGGCTGTTGAGAGGAAGGGTGGGCTGGCCGAGATGATCAAGGGCCCGGATATCACGATGGCGCTGGCGATCTGCGAGACGTGCCCGAGCAGCGAGGTGGACATCATTATCCCCGTCCTCCTCAACATCTTCGACACTCGCCAGGCCTCATGACGCTCATGAAGGCGCTCATCGACCGCGAGATGGCCAACACTGAGAACGAGGTGGAGTTGTTCCGTGGGAACTCGACGTGTACGAGGATGCTGTCGGCCTTCGCGAAGATTGATGGGTATACGTACCTCAGGAGCTTGATCGTGCCGCTCGTCAAGACAATGGAGAGTCTTCCGCCGGGGCAGAGTTATGTGCTCGACCCGACGCTCGTACCGGCCGACCAACGCGAGCAGAACCAACGTAACGTCGAGGTCGTCGCTACGGGCTTCCTCAACATCATCACGGCCTCCGTGCCCGCTATACCCTCCATGCTCCGCGAGGTGTGCGCGCACATCGGCAAGGCGATCATGCGGTACTGGCCCGAAGCCAAGTTCGCCGCGCTCGGCGCGTTCATCTTCCTGCGGTTCATCTCGCCGGCCGTCGTCAGTCCCGCTGTGGTCGACGTTGAGCTGCCGAAGGAGAACGCGGAGACGATCAGGAAGGGCCTGATGATCGTCGCGAAGATCATACAGAATCTGGAGAACAATATTTTCTTTGGGAAGGAGGCGCATATGGCTTCGCTGAATGATTTCTTGCATGCGAATATCATTCATGTTACGAAGTATCTCAGCGAGCTCTCGGTATGTGCTTCTTCGTTGACAACCGTCTTAGACGGACGCTAATTCTTCTCTATAGAGATACGTCCCTGCGCCGGGCGAGGAGGAGGAAGCGTGGACGGGGGCACCGCACGATGATACGGACACGATCGTCTTGCACCGCTTCTTCGACAAGCACGCGGATAAGGTCGGCAAGGAGCTGCTCTCTGTGCACAAGGCTCCAGCCGAAGGTGGCGAGCGCGGCGGTTGCCGGTAAACGCGCGTGGGACAGCATCTGTACGGCGCTTGTCGACCTTGGCCAGCCCATCGACATCCCACGCCACTCGCCTTTCAACAGCGCCCAACACGCCGACTTCCGCGATCTGATGAGCCGCTACGCCCGCCGGAGCACAGCGAGCGTACGCGATCTCTTCGTCGAGACGTACACACCCAAGACCGAGGCCGCCGTCTTCGTGCTGTTCCTATGCAAGTTCGACGTCGAGACGCTGGACATCGATCTGCTGCTGTACCACGTCTTCAGCAAGCTCACTCAGCCGGAGTTCGCGTACAGGCAGTTCTGCATGATATACGATTGGACAGGGTTCGGACAGGGAAGCCAGTTGCCGATGCAGTGGATCAAGTATATTATGGAGATGGTTTCCTCCGACATTCGGTCGCGGTTCAAGACGTCGTATCATCTCAACATCAACGCGTCGGCGTATGCGTACCTGAAGCGCATACATAATGTCACCGCGGGTGCGACGCTGGCGAGGAGTGCGCGCGCGTGCTCGAATATCGAGGAGCTACTCAAGATGGTACCGGCGACGTGTGCTGCCCCGCTCGTATATGCGCGCTCGAGCAGGAGGTCGCAGAGCATTTCTGCGGGATCCTGATGAGGCATCACCATGCTGTTCGTGTCCCCGTCGCGCTCGAGGTCGGCACGAGTCATCTGTGGGTGCTCGCGGACAAGGCGCTCCCCGTTGGGCCGAGCCTGGCGTGCAAGCCTGTGGAGATCATACCGTTTGCTGAGATCAGCGACGTGTACAATGTCAGCTCGGCGGCGCACGATCTCGGGGAGTTTATCATTCGGAAGACGAGGCAGGCGGCTACGCTGTACTTTTCGACGCCGGCGAGGGATCAGATCGTCAAGGTGCGTCTTCTTCGTCTTTGGTTTACATAATAACGAACTCACTGATTACATCTCTGTAGAGCATCCGCACTGCAAAAGGACGCATGCGGAGTACAAGCCTGCCTGGCACCGAGCGGTTCTCGCGTCTCAGGAACGTCAGCGCTGCTTTGCTGCACATTTCGTTCCTCAACCTCGGCGCGGACAGCAGCGAACTTCGCGGCGCGTCGTACGAGCTACTCGCATCCGTCATCTCTTCCTTCGACTTGGACACCAACCCGATGCTCTCTACCAAAGGGCTGTTCCCACTCGGCGGCTCGACGGCAACGGCGATCACGCCCATTCTCAGCGAGAAGATCGCGGGCGGTGTTCCGCACCTTACGCTTGACTTCGTGTCTGAGGTGTGCAGCACGCTTAACAAGTCTGAGCCGGCAACGCGTATGCACTGCATGGCGTACATGGCGCCGTGGTTGAGGAACCTCTCGCTCTTCGTAGACCCGACGAGCGCTTGTTATGACGGCTCCGGCGCTAAACTACGCGACTGCGTGCGACTGCTTATCGAGCTCACTCTCGCGGACCCGGCCCAGATCATGGCCATCCAGAAGACCGGACGACTCGACAGTCTCTTTTCCAGCCACTGCGGGGATCCCGCGCAACACCAGCGTGGCCCGGAGGACCATGTGAAGGCGACCGTGGCCATGCGAAGCCGGCCCACTTCACTTCCGGCCCGACTGCGGCACCCCAGCACCTCAGTTTGGCCTGCGCCTTTTGCCTTCGTCATCGTGCATGGCCCTCACCGCATCGCGCTCTCAGAATTGTTCAGCAAGACTTCCGCACTCGTCCATCCCGGTTCAACGATCAATCGTGCGAGCTCCCCGGCTTAACCGAGCACCCAAGGTCTTATGCGTTGCCATATCGTCACCCATCTCCTCCCTCCGCACATGCAAGAAGTCTGTCGTCATCGATCATCGCCAATGCCTTCTTGACCTTGTACTCGAGATGGCCTGGGACGCCTACGCCGCTGCAGACCCCGGTCTGGTGTCATGTCTGCCTAGGCAATCGAACAGGAAAGGTGGCACACGCGTTCATCTCCGGCACAGCACGCTCGTGTTCGAGGATTGCTCCGTCGCACCGTTGCTACTCGTGCATCGCGGGTTACGTCCACAAGTCACGGACCTTGCTCCACACATCGGCGGATCTTGAACTTGCTCAATGTCACGATGTCCGATCAGGCGCTTGACCGCAAGGGCGACGCAAAATTCGAACGGGATGGCGCCGGCGGCGCTCGTTACTGGCTGCGGCGCACATAGCGGGCTGTCGATGCTCAGCATATTTGTCCGACTTTGGGGCAATATCGGAGATGGCAGGGAGAAAGAGAGGGCCCGGGAGGTTTCGCGGTAGGGTGGGGGGCGATGTTGGAGAGGGAGAGTGACTGGGGGTAGCTAAACGAGGGCGGGGAAGGGCGAAGGGACGGATGTTGGACATCGTTATGGAGGGAAGCTTGGAAAATGAGAGGAGCAATGAGTGAGTGCTTAGCTTGTCATCTCGTTTGCGTCTTGTCGGTGTGGATGCTGAATTGGCTGGAAATTTAGGGATGGTACGCGCGACAGGCCCTCGAGCACGTTCCAGGGCTCACGCGCACGACTACGGACCACGCCGAAACGACATCTCGCGCCCACCATATCGGCACCTCCTCTTCAAGTTCGTACTGAGCAGCCTGGACTGTGCCTTTAATAAGTGCTGGCCTGTTTTTGGCCGGCATTTCAATGCCGCCGACATTTCAATTTCGGTGTCACGCGCAGTCATCACTCCGTGTTACGCGCAGTCACACTCGGTGTCACTGCATGACCACACAGGCCGCTATCCACTCCCATAATCGACTGGTCATACGATAGAGACGTGACGTAGTACTTTGTGTGTATGTATGTACAGTTTTAGTCGCCGCCAGGGCTCTACAGGGTGCCAGGGATGGCAAACCGGGGGCGGTGCACATTTAAATGTGCCCTCAGTGGCAACAAGGCACATTAAAAAGCCGTGACCCGCACGGCTCTTGCTTTGTCGAGGAGGTCGAAGGCGGCCTTCATTCGGTCCATCCCCATCTTATGCTCCGCCAAGAGGGCCTCCCAATGCGCCCGTGCAACACGCCGCTCTCTTGACAGTCTGTAGTCGTATGCTTTCTGATCCTCGAGCGCCTGGTGTATGGCAGCAGCCTCGTGGGGGTAAAGAGCGCCGGTATCGCGCACGAGAGCCTCTAGACGTTCAGTCTCGTCGTCCCAGAACTGCTCGTCCTGGGAGATAATTTTCTCTTGTTTACGAAGCTCTGCGAGACGTTGCAGGTTCTCCCTGAGACGGTCTTCTGTGTCGTCCGCGAACGTCTCTTGCTCTTGCATCCTACATTCTGCCATTAGACGGGAATAGGCTATCAACCCGTCCGCGTAGTTGGAGACAAAAGAGTCGGGAAAGGGGTTCACTTTCGTTTGTGAATGGGCGGGAGATGATGGCATTCTGAGCGCGTATCGGTGTGTATGACCATGCACAGAGGATAGTGGAGGCAGAGAGCAAGACACGCGCGGTTCGGATTGCACACGAACAGATGCATGTCGCGCAGCGCGCGCCCACCATACGAGAAAGACGGCGTAGGGTACAATGTAGCAGCAAAGTAAGGTAGTATAGTACGAAGCACTTTATGCGATATCGGCGGGGTTTGCAGGGACTAGGGGGAGGATGACTAGAGACACAGACACACGAAGAAACAGAAGCACGGTCAACATGAACATAACAAGAAAAGGCAAAGAAAAAGGTAACAAGATGACGTTGCACGTCTAGTCCATGTCCATACGATCGCCACCTCGCCTGCGCGGGCCGCCGCGGCCACGGCCACGACCACCACGTCCTCTAGCGCGCCCGCGCCCACCACCAGACCTCGGCTCGTAGTCGCGTGGGTCGGTGCCGGGCGGTGCGGTCAAGATGTGTGCCCGTGCGCGCTCTTCTGCGTCCATGAGGATCTCGTCAGAGCGCATTTTCCTGTATTTCGGTATGAGCCCCTGCTTGCCGGCTGCACTTGGGTGAGATATACTCACGAGCCACCCGACCCTGACATGAGCGCATCAACACTGTCGCCGTCAATTACGCCAGCTCCCATCCTTCCACTCAAACTGGTGTTCACACCGCCAACGATGTGCACCTTCAACTCCCTTCCATCCGCGACTTGTCCATTGAACTTCTTGACCGCTTCCAACGCGTCCTTCTCCACCTTGAAGGTCAGGCGTACTGTGACGTCGTCGCGTCGACCAGGCATATTGGTGGCGTTGGTGATGATGCCGCACTGCTTGAAGATCGCTTGCACGTCTTCGGCCGAGGTGCCCGGTACAAGGCCGGATACTTCCACTACGTTGCGCGTAGACGCTCCACGGATGCTGAGTGATGGCGAGGAAGTGCCAGTCGCTTCACGAAGAGCGCGGTCGGCACGTGCAAAGTTGGTCTTCGGTACGCTGCCGCGAGGGCCGGTAGGGGTTGTGGTTTGCATACGGTCGAGGAGTGTGTTATTGACATTGTATTGATCGTGCTGCCACTTTCCATCGACGTCACCCTTTGGTGGGCGCTCCTGCGTGACGAGAAAGAAGGGGAAAAGTTTCAGGGAGAACGTTCGAGGAGGCGTAGAGAGCGGTTGATGCGACGCACGTAGGGCGACGAGGCGCCCGAGCGGCGGCCCTTGTTGTTGTTGCGCGTCGGGCCGGACGCGCCGGGGACAGAGATATTCATGCGCTCGAGCAGGGAGGTCATGGTGGGCGATGTGCTGGTGGTGGTCGTCGACAAAGGTGGTGGCGCGGGGACAGCAGACGCGCGACGAGGAATTGAAGTTGATGAGCAGGTGATGGGAACGCATCACGTAAGCACATGGCTCCATCTGGAGTCAGCCACCTGCCTTGTTTCCTCCTTCCACCATCAATTCACCACTACCACCACCGACTTCATCAACAACAACACCGACTACCACCAATCATGGGTGTCAACCGAACGAACAAGATCAACCGCTACCGCAACACCGAGCGACGGCGCCAGGTCTCGCGAGAGAACTCGCCCGTACCCGGTAAAGTCCAGCTCTCGGCCGACATCAAGAAGCGCTCGCACAAGCGCCGTAGCCACTGGCACCAGGTTCGGCGCAGGGCCCAGCAGCGAGCACAGGCATGGGCGACGATCGCTCATAGCACGCATGACATCGTCTGCGGCAGCGGCAGATACATCGAAACCCGCCGCTGCAAAGTGAAGATGCCGTTCGCTGACCCTATAGGTGAATCCGGCACTGGACCCTCTCGCCAAGCAGTCCGCGAGGAACTGCTTCATATCGTGCATCATGTTGCGGACCGTATCGCTGACTCGGTCGGTCGCACACAGATATTGTATGACGATACGCCGCTCCCGATCGATTACAAGGTCGTAACGGCTAAGAAGGGAAGAACGACTGTCAGGTTCACTGGCAAGAGTACCCTTGCTTCTGCACGCGGATCTGCCGCGCTCAAGCCTCGCGAATGGGGCACGGCTCCACCCTCGCGCGTCGCGATACTGACGCCGATGCCCACGACCCAGTCCCCAGCTGCAGCCCTCGACCCATCATCGACACTCGCCCGCAACACGAGTTACCGCGCCACCCTCACCTCGGCAATGGGTGAGCTCTTCCTTGCTACAGCCCAGGACCCGTCTTCAGGCATGCTCTACGCTCCCGATGTACTCGGCATCCGCCGTGACGATAACGACTCGCTCAACCAATCAGAGCCCGACTTCGACCCCTACCTTCACGGTGAAAGGCTGAGCGACGATGATACACGCGAGTTGCTCCAGCCTGTTGCCGTGGACCGGTCGAGTCATAAGGCGTTGGGTGCGCTGGTCGCGCCTTACGCTGTGAACGTTCTTGCGTTCCCCGTCAGCGGCACCGCTCCGATAGGTACCGCTGACTCATCATTATCTCCACTGTCCCCTTCCCGTGCGCTTGAGCGCGCACTTCAAGTCTGTGCAGGCACAGGCAACCGTGTTGTCGTGTTTGATGGCTCGCGCACGGACGTTCGTGAGGCCGCTGAGCTTTTGGCGTGCTCGGCGGCCAAGTTCAAGAACGTGTTTGATCAGATCGTGTTCGCTGGTCTTGGCGATGCGTCGAGGAGGAAGTTCAGACAGGCGTTTGAGATGAGGATTCTTGAGGATGAGCTTGATCTTGCGCTTGAGGATAGCGGAGAGGAGGAGGATGAGGACGAAGAGGAGATGGAGGAGGTTGTTGTTTGATCGCGCTTTCGGTCTCATGGATTCGACTGGCTGATCACAAGTGATACCCCGTTCTCAGTTCACTGGTTCTGTTTCTTTTCTTTGCAATCTGTTCTTCAATGGATCATTGTACGATACTATATGTACGACGTAGAGTTTTATTCGTTATGTACTTGTATCGGCGTTGAATCAAGTGTATCATACTGCAGTCTCGTCTTGGAATAGGATACTCTATACTCTTTTCTCGATGCACGCGCGATATCCTATTGAAAGGAGATACGGAAAGGTTCTCGCAAAAGGGCTTACGTCCACCGACCCAGTCGTATTACTATACGTTGCACCGTACTGGCAGTCCTTGACGCGCATGTCGTTGCGGGGTTAGGCTGGGCGGGTGGGCCCGGCCCGGCCCCAATTGCGCTCGCCATGACGAGCCCTGCTTTGCTTTCCGCCTCCACCATCATCGCACAGTTTGCTCAATAATATACCCGATATCCTCATAATGCCATGCTTTCCTACTGATCATGAAGCCAGAACGATGACCTTCTCGGACGAATTCGTCCTCGACTACGCAAATAGGCTGATTGCTTCCTCCCGCGCGATGGAGGACTATGCCGTGCGAAGCGCGCTCACGAATGAGGCACAGACCTACCTCGACGGCGTGATGCAGCGCATGGCGGCGCTCCAAGAGCAGCAAGATATCATGGCTGCAGATAGGGAATTCTTCGTCGACGAGGCCAGACGTCTGGACTCTCTCGCGCGCGATCACGATGCTCTTTACCCCCATGCCGCGGCGATACACCAGGCGCTCGTGGATCAATGGTCATATCGAGACAGGTTGGAAAGAGAGCGGCGCGTCTTGCATGCGCATTGGGAGGCCGTCTTTGCTGAGAATAAGGCGGGGATGGATCGAATGGAGGCGCAGCGCATCCTATTCGCCGAAGCAACTGAGGTTGCTAACGACGCGATGATGGAGGTACATAGTGTCCTAGAACTCGTACGTGCGCCATGTTCCATCCCTACTAGCGATAGATTGCTCAGATAAGGTCTTTCATTCATGTAGTTGAGCACTGATGAGCAGGACGCTCTTCATAGAGCCATAGCAGCGATGGGTGGTCCCGCCGGCAAGGCTCTTGCACATCTCCGCTGGCTGCAGGACAGAAGTCGTCATTGTTCCTGCAATGGCGGGCGCCACAAGATATATGGGTTGCCTTGCGAGAGTTGATGATTTGGCCTAGAGAATACTTGCCCTTCACTCGACCTCGGGCGCCGTCCTTTTCACTGGATGAAACGGATCGCTAGTGCCACCCAATGCTCGCACATAAGAGGAACTGCACATTCAGGATGTTACTAAATAGTTTGGGATGTCTCTTGCAACTTGTAATGTACTCATAGCGCGCCCGAGTCCCATGAGACTGCCTCTGTTGGTTAACATTGGCGGTCGCCGCGCGCCGCGCACCAGGCGCGGCTCGGGCGCGGAAAATATCTCCAAGGTCAGCCCGAGGCGACGCGCCACACAGCCGCACGTCGGGTTATCGCACCATTGCTTCGCCCGCCTCTTTGCTAGTTCGGACCGCGAGAGAGATGCGTCTGCTCATGTGAGCCTCATACCTCGGGTTGGCCTCGGGGATCATTTCCACGACCGGGTTCATCATCTTCGCTTCCCAGTCGATGTTTGAACATGTGAGGGCTATTGTTACCCCGTTCACTCGGCGCATCCAAGAACGTCGGGGTGTCCATTGCACGGTCGATGCTGCGTTCGAGAACCGAGCGGCGGGTCGCTACAAGAATAACCACCAAGTTGGGGTACATGGCCTAAATGTAGCGTGAGTACTACTTGCCTGGGGAAGATAGCCTAGCGCCGACGCACTATGAGGGGTGTCATATAGTAGAACGTCGTGGCCATCAACAGGTTGTCTTGTCGATAGCCGGTGCTCACGTCGAGAACGCCGTACCAGACCTATCACGTCGTTTCAGTCAAGGTAAACGGATAATCAATCATCCGATTACCACATACCAGCAACGCCATATAGATGGCTCCAGACTCTATAATCACAGCAAGGATTGCGAGACTGTATCTCAGTCGTAATTGAGATGAGAGTTTGCGGACATCCTTCCAGCATTCCCTGGGAAGTCTCAGAGACCATGGATACGTATGGGCTATTTTCAGGGATCTTACCATGCCTTATATACGATGAATGCCGTTGCGAGTACTTGCGCAGCCATCGTCACGACGTTGGCGCTTATATGCGCGTCTCGGTAGATGCGATGACCGAAGTTGTCGTCAATTGACTGTGGCCCAGGTCGACCTGCGATGAGAACCAGAGTGTAAAGGCCTGCGACGCATGATTAGCAGTAGCCTCCATGTGACGTACGTATCAATCGGATGCAGTATACTTGCCGCTTTCGACCATGACAGTACCGGTGAAGAGAAGGAAGAGCCATCGAGGTCGTCCCCAAATGACATATGCCCGCCAAATCGAGACCGTATCCCCGAGTACAAGCTATGAAAGTGATAGAGTCAGTCATATAAGGCGTGAGATCGAATGAAAAGATCACCATGGTGAACTGCAGTGGTTGCTGCGCGTAGTATGCCACAGACCATGGGATGTACAGGCCGTCGAGGTACTGCGCATTCGGATCTATCGGCTCGGACTGGAGAGGAAGATAACGATACATCTCCAGCCAGAGAAGATACACGTCGATTGCCCAGTATGCTGAAAACAAAGTGAACATTGTGACGGTTACCCACAGCATGAATGGTGTCAGATGGGTTGTCTTTCTGTTGATCCTATGAAACAAAGGCCCCGATGAGTATGCGAATGGCCCGAGATGAGGGAAGCGTAATCTGACCATCGGCTCTGTATGAAGTATGCGCTTGAAGCTGCATAGAGAGCTATGCGATAAGAGCTCGTTATATCTTGTCAGTGTCTTGAATTCAAGTAGTTCTTACCGTAGAGGAAGGTCTCCAGAAGTAATGGGAAAGTGCGGTATCTCATGACCGATAACGTAGCCTCGTAACTCACAGCCTGACGTATACTGTCCGTGTTGACAATCTTCATAGATGTGTTCTGAAAGATGACGAAGGGGCCTCTGAGAATGGTGCCGCAGAACAGGATCGCAGGGTATGGTGGGAGCAATGACTAGGTACCTCCATCCTACCTCTTATAGTATGGAGGGGCGAGCCACCATCACAAAGGTACCGCTCCGATGAACATGTAAGCCTTCCGTAGAGAGGCAACGTTTCTTTCACCGATGCTGGGGATTGGGTAGTATGACGAAACAGATCCAGCCTCAGGGGCGGACTGAGGTCGATTATCTATCTCCTGACGACCAGAGCTATGCGAAGCATAGCCTGTACGCTTCATCCCTTGTTGGATCATGTACACTATCATGTGGTCCGAGGGAAGGACTACGATTGGAGGCCGATTCCATGCGAGTAACAGCCGAGGATCGGGCCATCAAGTTTGGATGGAAGTTCAGAACAAGCCGTGCGAGCGCTGTCGCGACAGTTCCGGTTCGGGACTCGCCGACACAATCACACGCTCGTTGTGTACTACTTTCAACGTTGACATGCGCACATAGGGTGCTGAAGCACCCGATATCGTATCCTGAGTCGCTCGATCAGTATCGAGGCGCTGTCGAAACGATGGACTTGAGCGTACTTACATCATGTATTACATGTTTGTTGCCATTGTGAAGGTCACACACGACCAACCGTCGCGGTTCGGCGCCTCGCCACCTCGCCTTCCCTCCTGTGATCTCGAAGGGTAGACAAGTACGGATCTCGAAGGGCTTGTGTGCTACAAAAGCCGACTCGTACGACGGATGAAAAACGCAGTTATTCAACTTACAGCTCTGTCGCGTAGCGTCACCGTGACCGTGACCATCCGCGAACGAATGATATTCCCAATCCCGACCTCCATCATGACGTATCCTTTGCCAATGTCTTCCTTGCAGTCCGGTCACAAGACGCGTGTTGCGAACGGAGAGCTGGCCCGCGAATACGCGGACAAGGCAAAAACTCCAGGGGGCATGACGAACGAGTCCGACGCGTAGGCCATGGATTTGAGAGATCCGGAAACCCGCAAGGACGACCTCCGCAGGATGTCCCAGGACGACTCAGAGAAGCCAGCGCTGAATGCGAACTGGTCGACGCTGAAGCCCACTTCCTGGGACTCAAAAAGGCGCGGCCGGTGGCTACGGACATTGATATTGATGCTATTCGCTCAATACATGCGATGCAGACGATCAAGCAGACGCGGGTAACAGAGCGCGCGCGATCCCGGACGGAGTCTCGAATCGTGCAGACGACGCATTTCGGGACACGCTACGCGCTGAGGCGGAGGCGGTGTTAGGAGAGCTTTAAGCTCAGACCGAAAAAGCCCCCCTTATGGGCAGTACGAGCCGAAGAAAGCCGGGAGAACTGGTGGAGATTTTGAAGCCGGTGCGCACCCTACTTCTCGCTGAAATTTTTGACTCTTGACTGAATGAGATGGGTCCTCAGTCTCTCTTGAAGAGCCTTCTATACGCCGTCAGACAGACGGTCCACCAGATTGCCTTCAAGGCGACCTCACTCTTGGGACTCGCCCGAGTGCCGCGTGGACCTTTTCGATGACACCCGCCGTTATCGCGCACCATGGAGTTCATACCGCTCCTTCGGTGGTACAGCGCTCTTCCTCGCTACTCCTGGCCACCTAGTCAAGTCAACTTACGATGCTGTATAACTCAAACAACTTCAATACCCCCTTGATCTGTGACCACCTACGCGCGGACACGCTTGTAACTTTGCGGATCCCTATGCGGAACGTCGCATCGCTCGCTGAGCTCCTACGCACGATCGCCTGGCATGAAACAACGGTACGGTGGACAAGTTGACCGCCGTTCTACACGTCACGTCGCTCTTGGCAGGTGACACGTGCGCTCATCGGTATCGTGTAGAGTGCGTGGGCACGTCTGAAAGTGAGCAGCGTATTCTCTCTCTCATGAGTTATACGATACCATAGACTGACTACGCAGATAATAGCGGTGATCTGGTTGGCCACCTGTATCGATCGGCCCGAACTCTTTCCAAGCTGCTTTCGTTAATACTATAGTCGCCCGTGCGAGCAAACCTTGATAAGGTCTGACGTCTTCCCCGCGCCGAGTATCACGCGCAACACGTACAAAACCAACAGTTCGAAGTCTAGAATCCGCGTTACAGTCAGAGCCTCGAGACGTGAACTATACACACAGAGCCTGTATCGTATTGAGAGACATTAGATGCAGCACCGTCCTTCGGTCGTTCCCATTCCACCCTCGTTCATTCTTCCCTCCCCTTCGTTCTTACGTGACGGGTCGTTTACTCGCTCTCAGAGATAAGTGCGACGATCATGCTGAGCCAGAGGATCAGTAAGGTGGAACTAGATGGCAAAAAGACAGGACGCACCGGTAGAGGTAGTAGAAGAAGCTGAGGAGGTAGAACCCGAGCTTGATGAAGCTCTCCTTTTTATGCCCGCCGAGCGTGCGGAAGATTTCCGTGGCGTCGTACATGTGTCCGTTGTTTCTGATCCTGGCAGGCAGGGAGCGCTTCATCAGTATGATTCCTATGCTGTACGACAAGGGGTACGCACTTGTTGATGTTATAGGCGAGTAGAGGAGCATTCAACAGGAATGCCATCCATTGGCCAGAGAGCAGGAAGAGCGTCGTGAGGAAGGCGTGGGCGATGTTTTCCGGGAGAACGAACTAAGACACATCAATGTCAGCGCCAGTGATAGGTGCAAGAGTCGTGCATGGACGAACCTGGTTGAGCTTGTTGCAGAGGTCTATGGGGTTGATGTAATCGCATTCGAGGTCGGAGAACATGATGATCTGCTCTCATCGCCACAGGTAGTCCAGCACATTGATATAGGATAGTGTCCGAGTGGCATATTCCGTGCCATTTTAACGGTAGGTATAGGCGAGGTGCAACGGGAGGGAGGCCGAGTGGAGAGGAGGCGTGTGCGCAGTTCTCGTCAGCACATCGGTTAGAACACGGATAAACTTGTGTACGCACGAAGAAGACCATCGTAAAGAGTAATCCTGCGGCCATAAGGACCGAGAATAGGAATAGCCAACCTGCGCACATATATCGTCAGCCTAAATTTCACAAACAACGCCCCCGAATAAACCGCAGCGCTCATCTCTCGTGCCATGATGCGCGGCTTCATTTGGGGTAGGAACGGTTTAATCACCTGCGCCACCCATAATGATGAGACTTTACAACAGATGAGACGTATGCGTGGAGGCGAGGGGCTGGGATCAACTCTGCGGAGGAGAGGGACGAGGACGAGGAGCGGCGCGCGGCCCTGCGGCGTCGTGGTCAAGGCGCGCGTCTATGTGATGTCACGTCACGGGCGCGTCTGTTGGACACGACTGCTTCGGTCAGGTTCTTTGATCGACCACCATCGCAGTTGCTCTTGCGGGGCACGTCGTCGACATCAGGACTTGGGTCTGGTGCATGCGAAATGGAGCAAATGTACTACTTGTATGCATGTAAGCTCCGCAGAAGCGCGGCGTAGGCCGTGGTGACATCCTGCCGTCACGACATCTGAACGCTTGAGCTCGGACGGCGATGAGCGCCGTTCTGCGATCCTTACCAACGACCATCACTAGCCTTCCTGCTCATAACCTTGACATACGCACCAATGGACAGCTTCATTGCAGACCTCACATCCGATATCTCTCGCAAACTCGCGCGTTTCATCGCCCTCACAAGTGAGCGGGTAGAAATCAAATCGCAAATATATGCCATCGAGGAAGGCTTGGCTCCAATACTCAAATACAACAACGAGCTCGCGGAACAAGACCATATTCTGAAAGCTGAACGCGACTTTCTTGATGCCGAATACGATCGCATCCACGACTGTCTCGAGAGTGCCAATAACGCGCGAGAGCCGCACGTCAAACTCGCGCTGGAGCAGGCCGTACAAGGAATTGAAGAGGACCATGAGCGGCTAAATGCCGAAGGAGAGGCATTTAGGAAAGAAGTGCAAGTCGTACTGGCGATGGGAACCAAGTTGAGTGCTTCAATGCGGGAGCAGTCGGCGAAATTCGATATAATGGCGGACCAATGGCTCAGTGCTGCGAATGATCTCGCGCAGACAATACACGTGGTACGCATTGGTCCCTTCTACTCAACTTGGTCGCAATGGACTGATGATTGGATGCGCGGTTCAGCTTGACGATGCGAAGCGGATCGCGGTTCGAGACCTTCTGATTGAACGGGGAGAACGTCCAGCGGCGGACGAGTTCTGGAAACTCTGCGGCGAGCACCATCACTGCAAGGACTGCAAACATTGAATGTGATTTGGGTCCCCGGAGAGATGTCTTCTCGTGCGTGTGCGCCAGGTGCCAACCCTCAATCGCGCAGGGATCGCGATTTACAGGTCGAACTTCAACTTAGTGCTATAGAAGGTCTGTCCTTGCATCCTGCAAGTACACACACAGGCTGACCCGTACGCTAGAGAATCGTATTTGTTCCTGTATAAAATTGCCATACGGGATATCTGATTCAATTCACTTGCTCTCGCAGATGTTGTATCGAGCCGCATTTATCCAAATGTACGCAGTACTGAGACGTCCCGGTCGGTCTCGCATGGACGCTTGATGCACTGTCAGTCCAGCACCCGTCCCATCTGCCTTCGCTCACAGCTACCATGACGTCTACATCCCTTCGCTACATCTCTCGCCTATCCGTTATCACTCATGGCCACTGTGGTCGCAGTCGTCGCCTCCAGAATTACTCGCAACTTTGCCCTTCTGGGCGCTTGTAGGGCTGAGTGCCAAGACTTGCAAGCGGCAATAGCAAAGTCACGCCGCACTCTGTCCGCTCTCGACGAAAGCAGAGCGCAGTTAGATGACTGTACTGCATGCCATAGAGGAGAGCTGGACTTCCTGCTTGTCGGAGGCGACCGTATCTACAGTACAACGGCGACTGAAAACCGGAAACAGTCTCCGGCACCTCATGTTCTGACCGCGCGCGGGGGTTCTCACAACTACAGGATGATCTCTCGCGTGTGCGAAACAAGGAAAGCGAGGTGAACAAGTTGTCGGCGACATGTTCATGGGAATGGAAGATTACGAAGGAGGCACTCGAGGAACAACTGTCGGCTCATTCGACTGCTACCGCCCGCTGCGATGCCATTCGTAATGAGATGCAAGCTATGGCGGAGGACGTACGTGAATTCTTCTTTTCTGCGGCTCATCACTTGGGGCCCACGATTGGATCGCTTTACAGCTCGAAAAGAAGGATTGGAAAGAAGGCTTCATGGTCCTCGTCGAGACGGATGGTATCTCTGTAGCGAGGCGGTTCTACGCCTTATGCTTTGGTGCGGGGATGTAGTACTATGACATGGACATGGATACCCTTCATCGACCAGGGCCACCGTTGCTTCTAGAGACATATCGCTACATACACAAGCATCTTTGAAGAATATGGCGCGTCCTACATCTGTATGATGAATGTGAGATGAATTTCGTGCCGTCAGCGGACATTGTAGAAACTACGCGTGGTCTGTAGGTACACGCATAGAGCCGTACTTCGCTCAATCAGATGCCTGTCAGTGATATCCGCCTTTATCGGCCACGCAGATGCTTGCAAGTGTAGGGATCGTGGTTATCGCGTCTTCTTTGGTTAGGAGGTCCTAGTACACGTTGTCGCCAGGCGCGTTGCACGTTGTTTCGCCACAGTTGTATTCCGATGTTCTCGGAGAGGTGGCGTATATATACAGTCGAAGTCCTATCACAAAGTGCTCAACGAACTTCATCCATCATGGTCGGACCACCTGTTGACGTTGACTGTGAGTGACAGTCTCCGTGGTTGAGAAAGGACCGCGCACTCAGCCCTTCCATCAGATGCGCTTCCACCTGCTATTGAGAAGATGCAAGGCAGCTGGATGAGTACCTTGCAGAGCGGCGCTGTGGTGGTAAGTCTGTATGTCGTCGCATGCGATCAAACACTCACCCATGCCCTCATCAGACCAGCGTCATCGCAGGGGTAGAAGCCCAACTTCTTGTCTTCTATAGCGACAATGGAAGCTTCGGTCTAGACGACAATGCTCCTTCGAGCAAGATACAGATCGTAATACAGATCCTCACTTACGTCGCCCTCGTCTGCAGCGTCAGCGCGACCATCACTTCGCTCTTCCTCATCGACGAGTTCGGCGAGATACCGACGCGGGCAGCGCGATACAGGAACCCGAGTACTCAGGCTTGCAAGATGGCCGGAACGGATTGGTCTTTGCTCGAAGCGTTCCGACTTCGGAGAGGCTCCAAGTTCGTGGTGTACCACTGTGCGTGTGAAGGCATCAGCACAACTTCGCATGGACTGACATAGCGTCTGCCGGCCAGGGCTGTCATCCATACTCGCGGCCGCATTGTGCACCGTCTTGTCCACCGCCGTCTACGTCGTCTCACAAAAGCCACTGGCCGCACAGGTCATAATCACCGTCGTAACTGTCGTCTCCGTCTTGCCGTTCCTGTATTTCGTGGTGCCGGGCGAGGATTGATGTTCGTGTTCGCCGCTTCAATGTACAAAAAGTGGTCATATTGTGGGATTGCTGTAGGTATAGTTTGTACAGATAGACCCAAGACATGTGTGTCCAGGCTCCTGGCGAGTCCAATAGATAGAATCGAAGGCAGAGGGGCGGGCAATGGCCGCGGATTGACGAACGGTGGCAGCCATAATGCGCCTGTTATGAGGTAGAAGCAGACGAACGGAGGAGTCGAGATGATCCGGGAGTTGAGCGCTGTTGAGCGCTTGCGCGTGGAGGTATGTGAACATGATAATGAGAGCCAGGCATCATGGTGGGGTAAGGCAACCAGCGAAGAAGGCAGTCGCGCGACGCGTCCTGACGCGTCCAACGCGGGTTGCGTCTGCCCACCATGTTGGCGCACCTCCACCGCCCGTGCGTACGGAGTTATACGTACCGACTCTTCAATACTTCCAGTCACCGACTCCATGAAAACCCACTTGTCAGTTTCACTCTGTGTTGTGCACCAGAACCATCTCACCGACGTAGGGTCTTCCGCGCAATACAGACCGGCCCGCGCCGTCCATTCCTCGCCGAGGCGGACTTCCGGCCAAACGTGGCATACCACATGTGAAGCGTGTCGTACTGGTTGCAAGTGGTAAGGGTGGTGTGGGAAAGAGTACTGTAGCTGGTGCGTCACGACGGTATGCGTTGCGTTGGACGACCCGTACTGACATTCTACGGCCACAGTGAATCTTGCATTCGCGCTTGCCATGCGTACAGGGAGGCCAAGAATCGGAGTACTGGACCTAGACGTGTTTGGGCCAAGTATACCGAAGCTGATGGGCCTCGACGGTGACGGCGCGGAAGAACCACTGCTTACACCTGGTACGTCTGACCTATCAACTTTTGCTATATACTTACTGACTTTCACCACCTCAGCCGGCGCGCTTGTCCCGCCGACGAATCACGGTCTACCCTGCATGTCAATGGGGTTCCTTCTTGGTCCTGGGCGCGAGAGCGAAGATAAAGCGGTCGTGTGGCGCGGCCTGATGGTGCAGAAGGCCGTTCAGCAGTTGCTCTTCGACGTTGACTGGCGCGCACCGCTGTCACTCGAACGACCGAACGAAACAAATGGACCCGGTTTGGACGTGTTGGTTATCGATATGCCGCCTGGGACTGGCGATGTACCGCTCACGGTCGGACAACTGGTGAATGTCGACGGTGCGTAACCCTACGGATATGAACTTGCAGACCCCAGTGCTGACTTCCTCGTGAAGGTGCTGTTGTTGTCAGTACCCCGCAGGACGTGGCGCTTGCGGATGTGAGGAAAGGGATTGCTATGTTCCGCAAAGTCGGCGTACCGGTGCGTGTTGGACTACGGCGTGATTGCTTGGATATTCGCTGACACCGTTCCTGCCGATAGATTACTGGCCTGGTACTGAATCAATCGCACTTCTTCTGCCCATCCTGTGACACTCCGCATGAACTCTACGGTTCTGCGGAGCGCTTCACAGCGGTCTCGGACCAGCTGGGCGTTGACATGCTCGGACAACTACCGCTCGTACCAGGCGTTAGCGCGAGTGGCGATGGTGGCCAACCGTATGCGCTGATAGGCGGTGGTGCCGCGGAGGGCAAGGGCGCAGAGATGTGGAAGAGCGAAATGGAGAAGGTCGCTGACGCTCTATGGAAGTCTTTGAAGTTCGAGACACCATAGCCGTCGCTCTTGAGACTGTGCTGCATACTATTGACTACGATGGTTGCCCATTGTGATCTATTATTACGATGTACCTCCGGACGGCGGCGTTACATTGCACCACTACCAATAGCTACGGATGTCGCTGGAATCTTCATAAATATTCCTCTCCATGAAGCCTGGTCTCTTTGTGTAGTGTAGCTAGATGGACGTCCACGGCACCGTCAAACAGTGAAAGCGAAGCGCACCCCCAGAAGATGAAACGCGTCAGAAAATCCGGGTGACCGCGACGCGCGCTAATCGAGCGCCGAGGTTTGTTCTCGACCACCACCTTGGTCTCTCCATCAGGATCGTCGATAATCTATTGCTATACGACTTGCAACCTGAAGCCTCGAATGTCCTGCGAGGGACTGTAGAGGCACCAGGAACGTGCTTTCCAATCATCGTAGCAAGGAGGTGACGCTGCTCACCGGCACGCGTCTCGCTTGCCGTGCATGCCGACCGCTCTCCCATGCAACACTCAGCATTCCAAGACATCAACTGGGCTCCATCTGCCGCGCTGACGAGCGGTACCGGCTCAATACAACGAAGACAATGATGAGCTACTGAGACCTCGCCCTTCACGCAACATGTCCTCGTACTCGGTGTTGAGGATCTCCGAGGAAGCTCTATAAAGGCGGGCGATGATGGTGCAGGTGCTGAGCACAACACTCAAACCATGTCGACTGAAGCTGGATTCAAATTGCGGATTGCCATCTGGTAAGCAGTCAACATATACAACACACCTCAGGCTGACTTTGTCTACAGCGGTGGTGGTATTGGTGGCCTGACGCTTGCATGTGCCCTCTCGCGTGCGAAAGATATTGCGGTCGACGTATACGAGCGTGCGCCTGACTTCAATACCGAAATCGGGGCTGGTATCTCGATCCGCCCTCGCAACATGCCCTTCTTGTCCGAGCTGGGGCTAGCCGAGGAGATTGCTGCTATCAATGGCAGAACAGGCGGCGCCTCAGGTACGTCGATGCTATACGTAGGATCTTGACTACACGCTTATGTGCGACTGCATTAGGGTCTCTGTTCACTGTGTACAAGGCCGATACACCCGAACTTAAGGTACTGAGGGAGGTTCGGGAGGAAGGTGCGTTCGTCAGACATGATCCACAGTGATATCCTACTGACGTTCTTGCAGGATCAGTCTCGGTACATCGCGCCGAGTTCCATAACATCCTATCCCGCCACATCCCAGAGCACGTCGGCATGCACAGCAACAAGCGCCTCGCATCCTACGTCGATCCAGACGATGCTAGCTCTCCCATTCGCCTCACCTTCACCGATGGCAGTACGGCAGAGTGCGACGTGCTGGTAGGCGCGGATGGTGTCAAGAGCGCTGTGCGCGCGAAGATGCTCGAGGATGTCGCCAGCCGTACGGAAGATAAGGCCCAGGCTGAGAAGTTGCGCGAAGCCATTCCGCCTCGGTTCAGCGGAGCCATCACGTATCGCGCGATCATTCCGAAGGAGAAACTGTCTCATATCCCGGAGGATAGTTCTGTCTGGACGTCGGGCAATAACGTACGGTGAACCATCTTCACTCGGAGAACTCATGCTGACCGATCATGGCCTTTCGCAGTATACTGGAAGCGGACGCGTGCGTTCATAGCTCGTACCGTCGACCCTACACCCCTCTGACATCCCGTACATGACAGGCGGTCGTCTCGTATCCTATCTCTCAAGGACGTTTGCTTAACGCGGCGCTCACTACGTTCGACTACTCTCTGGAAGACACGCTACACCCTCAGCCATGGGTCGCGCAGGCGCAAGGGAAAGACCTTGTACCTCTTCTGGAAGGTTGGGCTGAGGAGCCGCGCAGCATCATCGCTGTAAGTACCGCCGGACGTTTCCTGCATTGATCTGTGTGCAGGACTGACACATCGCTTGTAGGGACTCGACGGTCTTGAGACGAAGAAGTGGGTAATCAACATTGTGCGCCCTCTTGATAATTGGTCGGTCGGCCGGGTAACCTTGCTTGGGGATGCTGTACGTTCTTCCCTCGGCTTCATTGCACGACGCATACTGATGATGAGGTAGGCGCATGCGATGCCGCCCTTCCAAGGAGCTGGTGCCGGACAGGCCATCGAGGTAGGCCACTCGTCGTTCTTGTGAATGAGTACGAGTTGACGGTACCATGTCCTTACAGGACGCGCAAGTTCTCTCGGCCATCCTCGCTCATCCCACTATCACGCGCGAGACGGTCTGTCAAGCCCTTCGCGTGTACTCCGACGTGCGTCTCCCCATCGCGATGGCTATCTACAACGCGTCGCGTCGTAGCGGGCAACTCATGGGCGAATCGAAGATGTCGCCTGAGGAGATCGTTGCGGAGTTTGCTCAGGTTGGGCAGAGTGCGTGGAGTAGGGGGAGCCCTGAGGAGGATGTGAAGCGAGCGATCGAACTGTTTGAAGAAGCTGTCTCGACGTGAATGTTCAGAGTACCCGCATGTACGCTCTTGAACAGACACAAACCTCGAACGAACTCAATCGCGTTTGCCTGAGGCTCAGGATCCACGCACGGCATCCGTTGTAAGAACCATCTCAGCGTGCCAAACAAGCTCGAAGCCAATAAAAGCGTTCCCTTCGATATGCGACAAGCGCTGGCAAGTCGTAAAACCACCAACATTTCTTTCAGAAATCCTCAACTCTCACGTGACCGTACTCTATCGGGTCGGCTGCCTCAACCCGGTACAATGCCCCTACGACCTGGCAGATATTCGCGATCTCCAGACTACACCACCCGTGACCAGCGTACACATACTTGTCAACGTGGTCACTACCCAGATTTGCGTTGCTGCTACCAGGAAGACGGTGCCTGTCACCGCACTCAGCAGGCTGAGTAGGACGAAGTACTCCGCACCTCGACCATGAGCGAAGGACGTGGCGCCAAGCGTGAATAGGCATCCTAAGATACCGCCTGTCGAAGATGCGGCAAGCCAGTGCGAGGTTTGTAGAGTGCTGGGACTGGCATATGCTGCTGCCACGATGCCTAAGCACAGAGTGCCGGTGAAGTTCATCTATTTCAAGCGTGAGCAAATGTATATCGGCTTATCGATGGCGTAGCCGTACGCACAAGGGCAGAGCGGAATGTGTCGTTGGAATTCGATGTTGACGAGGGGCGGGGAGAAAAAGTAGCGGGGGGTGGAAGGACATAAATTTCCAAGGTATGTGGATCTATCCTGTCTTGATCTGCATGCGCTATGAGCGCTGAGAACGTAGACTGATACTGCTCTAGCGAAGCTACCTGTTGTGCCGAGTTGTGTACGGACTCGTGCTCCTGCCGTGAGGGGTGCGGGGCTACAACTTGCATAGTCCCGCCCAGCCGCCGGTAGGGGGAGGCGTATAGATGCGTAGTGCCGCGGTCCCACTGTGCTGGAATGCCTTCGCGATACGGAGTGAGCTGGCCAGATGTTGGCACCCGATGGATCTGGCACGTCATAGATCTTGGAGAGCAGATCTGCTGGGGACTGGGGGGCCATGCAGTACCCGATCGAATCTCCGGGCGCATAAGACATCTGGAAAGGTAAGCGTGGGTACCTAACAACGTGCGTTCAAGCGGTGTTGTCCGGTGTAATGCAGTGGACGAGGGGGGCAGGTGATGCTTGGGTTTGACACTGGTTCGCGGCGAACCGGGTTCTGTATCTCTCTGACGGGTTCTTTGTCGGGTATGTGCACTATATGGATGTAGGGTACGACAGTCCACTGAATAGCCGTCAGTGCAAACGCTCCCCCGAGCTGGGCGGACGGAAGAGCTTGCCATACAGCCCCAATCGATATACCATTGCGATATCCTCCCTTTCTGTGAGATATCGAGGTTTGCGCATGTTATCTCGAAAGAGTTCTTTCTGTGATTTCTCCCTCTTTCCTGCATTGTCTCAAGAGACGAGTCTACTTCTCATAGCTGCTTTATGCAGGGATACCCGTGGGACACCTTACTATTGTGGAGTCGTCGAGGGGCCAAGCCGGTCGAACGGCACCAGGACTCAGGCACTCAAGAGCTTCGGAAAGAGGAACGAGACTCCCAGATTCATACCGGCATACTCACGGCCCGGTTCCGGCGCCCGTCAATTTGCACTGGTGTTCCATATATGTCCCAGTATCGTGTGTCCCTAGAGTTCATGCCGTGCAGCATACCAGTGAACATGACTGTTATGAAGGCGTATTACGTATGTCCTGAAGGCAGGATACAGAAAGGCACGAGACACTATTGTAGCAGTCTACACGAGTAGTGGTGAATTATACGCCAGATACCCTGTAACGACCTGTAAGCCAGGTTCTCAGTCGGATGCAAACCTCTGGGGATGAAGTTCGAAAGGGCTATCTGCGCCGACTTACTTCAATATCTGAGGATTCAGCTATTACCTGTGTACTCACTTCTAACTATAGGGTGGTATCCGGCGTTACACGTTCAGGCACGATGGTATTACTGGTGGAGTAAGTGCCATTGAGACTTGATTGAGCCTTCGTGAACGTACTTTTGGCCAAAATCAGGCGTGAGCTTGTGTAGCTCAAGATACGGATACATGTTAGCTTGAAGTAGAGCTGGCGTCACGCGTATGTGCTCTGTACAGATCAGACAAACTGAAAGAGCGATACACAAGAGATCGAGTCAGGGACGCGCCTCAGAGCAGCCGCATCCCATGTGACCGCGGCGACCATTCCGTAAGTCAGACGCGCTCGTCCCATCAGCCTCTTTCCCCTTGACCACCGCCTGCGGCACCGCCTTTCCTTTGCCCTCATACATGTCGCGCACAACACACTTCGAAATAACCATGTCAGAATAAGAAAAGAAGATGGCGACGACGCGCCCGCGCCAACGGTCGACGAAAGAGTTCTTCGCGCCCGCCGCGTTCGACCCTGGATGAAAGCCGCGCGACGTGCCAAGCGTCCACAGTCTGACTTTTCGCACTCGCAAGCGTAAGCCATGACATTTGTCATCATGCGCCGCGCAGACAATATGGACAATACGGGCTCGGCCGCTCGATCGACAGCGCGCGACACTCATCTAGTCCTCGTCCCCACCGAGATAACTGGTTCTCAGCAAGATATTGCGTCCAGAGAGGAAGAGTTAGTCTACGTCTGGACTGCGCGCGATTTTTTACCTGACATATGCCTTCCGTGTGCGTAGAAACTGTGTAGTCTACTCAGATGTTGATCTATACATATACAGCATGGACTACCGAAGAAGAAACAATATGCAATCCCAGAAATATCGTCGAATAACTGTGACACAGAACTCCAAGATCCAATCGTGAACGCATCCTGCACTTGCGCTTGACCTCCACCGCGGCCCTCCGTCATCTTGCATGTGTTCTCAGTCGCCATACCACCCCCGCAGTTACCGCGATGCAAACGCTCGCGAGCATTGCGATCTCCCACGTCTGTGTTGCCGCGACCATAATCACGGTGCCAGCCGCCGCGCTCAGAAGGCTCAGCAACAAGAAGCACTGTCTGCCTTGACCTCGGTGAAGGGCCAGTGTTGCTAGCGTAAACATGCTTCCGACGGTCCCGCACGTCACTGACGCGACGACCAAATGGAATGCCTTTAGGTTATCGGGGGATGCATAACCCGCCGCTACGATGCAGAGACATATGGCGCCGGCGAAGTTGATCTACCGCGACGTCAGCCAGGTTTCAGAATACCGTTGTGGTATATATGCCGCACCAGGGCTGAGTCGAGTGTATCGTTCTGCGAGGATGCCTCTGTGTGCGCCGCAGATCCGGCGACCGCGGGGGCAGGGAGAGCGTGTGCATGGAAGCTGTACGATTGCACTGCCGGCCAGAATGAGCTGTCGTACTTGGACGCGGACCGGTGATCCTTACCACGTGGGTCAAAGTAGGCGCCCGCTGGCGGTGCTAAAACTCCATGTACGTTGCTTTGTCTTGTGTGCTCATATGTATTCCCTACTGATTGCGGATGAGAGAGTATGGGCGAGTGGTACAGTGCCTTTGAAGTAGCCGCACAGTACAGGCCTCTACGACGTTGAGTGGAAGGAGCGGCTGCATTCATGAAGTGATGCGAGGTGTTGTGGCGGGATAGCAAGCTTGGGGATGTGGGAATGGGGCTTGGGGAAACTGTCGAAATTCTCCATTTCTTCGCGAACAAAACCCCAGCCCAGCTTCGCCCGCGACGCGCGACGAGTTTTAGGAACAAGAGGGAAAAAAGACAGATATGAGGCGATGAAGCAGAGACAGGCGGCGCTGACTCCTTCCAATTGGGGGTAAAGGGTTCCCGGCGTGCTGACGACATATAATGATGGGCGGGACAGAGAAGTACCGGCCCGTCTTGCTATCACCCAAATGTGCTTCAGAGCCTTGGAACGAGTGGACTTTTACTCGTGCTACGTTGTATGTCCATATACTCAGAGACAGACTTCACTATTAAGGACAGCTCGTACTCGCATAGTGCTGCACGACGTCAGGACCGAACTCCGAGTTGGCCGTGTGACGCTTGCACTAACTTCGTCAAAAGCGCAGATGAAAAGCACGAGGTGCTTCTGAGGGGTCAAATGTCCCTTACATTAGACCATATAGACAAAGGGTAGGGTGAATGAGGTTGATGGCAAAGGTACGAGAGCTCGTAACGTTAACAAGTACGGGTTACTTCACGACATAGATCTGATCACGATTGGTATTAACGGCTACACACCATCGGGTTAGCACTATACCGGTTTCTTCGCTAGCCATCTTCGTCGTGAGCGGGATAGCCGCTGAGAGAGATATCTCTTGCGCACGCGCTCGTCCCAACGCAGCACACGAAAGCCGCTCCGAAACGTCGCCACCCAACGAACGGAACACAGTCCGAAACCCACGTGACCGTGACTACAGTTCGTAGGCACGCTCGTTCCGCGAGCCCAAGCGCCAACGACCCGCGCTTGACCACCACCTGCGATAAACCCTCTTGTTCGTCTCCCATTATACGACACGCCACGAAAAATAGAAGAGAAATTGTGATAGTGGCGACGCGCACACGCCGACGATCGATGGAAGTGCTCTGCGTCCACTGAGGTCAACCAGCCACCTATGAAAGCGGCGCGACGACGTGCTGACCGTATATTGTCTGGCTTGTCACCTCTGGCAGATTTCGATGATGGCGGGTGTCTGCGATGAGCGCCATGAGCGCGATTGAAGCGGCAACAGCTGGTTGATAGTACGGCCGCTGGGACAGGTTCTGGGCTTCACGTTCGTGCCCTGCTAGGACTCGTATACATATTGACTTTGGCTCGCAAATGTCTATTGCGGGGTCCGTCGCTCGCAGAGTGTACGCTGACAGCATATTATATTCTCAGATTGCTCAATACATATACTCAGAAGCAAGGCCGACACTTTCTACCGCGAGCTACATCCCATCCATGAGCTCCGTTTACAAGCGCATGTGAGCGTCACCTCGTCTGTACGCTCAATCGCCATACTACGCCCGCCGTCATTACGATGAACACTCCCGCAAGTGCTGCCATCACCCAGGCCTGCGTCGCTGCAACCATCGTCACAGTTCCGACCGCCGCGCTCAACAGGTTCAGCAGCAGGAAGCACTGACTCCCGCGTCGATGATCGAGGAAAAGTGAGGCCAGCGTGAAGAGACATCCAGCGATCCCGCAGGCTACGGATGTAACGAGCAACCGAGATGTTTTCAGGCTGTCGGGCGACGCGTAGCCTGCTGCGATGATCCCTAGACAAAGTGCACCGGCGAAGTTGATCTGGGAGAGCTCATGAGCGCGCTGATATACTATCCTGTTCAAGGCGGCTTACAAGGGCTGAGCGGAATGTGTCGTTCCGCGTCTGGGAATGCATATACGCCTCAGATCCGGCAAGCACGGGGGCTGGGAGAGCGTATGCATGGAAGCTGTGCTGACGCACTGCCGACGGGAATGAGTTATCCTATCTGGGATACGCGCCGAGTGATCCTTACCACGTGGATCGTAGTAGGCGCTCGGTGGGGATATGGGCGTTTCTCCAAATTCCGTGCTTTGTCTTATATATTCGGGTGTATTTCGCCCCGCATGCGGAGGGGCGTATGCGAAAGGATGGAGGGACGGGATTCTCGAGGCGTTTGTCAACGACGACGAGAGTTCGCGCGTGTGGTCGCGACTCATGGGCAGAGGTGTCATGTACACGCTTATAACGACAATGTGCTGCTCGTTTGAGCGAGGGTAGTAGGCGGGCGAGGGCAATGGGTATGGGTATGGGGCTTGGGGAAACTGTCGAAATCCGTCATTTTTTCGCGAACAAAACCCTACCCGGGCCCCGTTGCTGGCCCTTGCAGAATGGGGGCTCTTGCGGATGCTTTTGCAAACGATGCAGTGGGCGCACTGATACACTGCCAGTGAGAATGCCGAACTCATCGGCATGATGCGGTCACACGTGCCTTCCGCGGGGAAGTCTAGTTAGCCAATGAAAAGCATGACGTAGCTTAGCTAATTCTCTTCATCTGCTACCTATCGGTGCCATAAAACACAACGACTTAAAATATAGGATGGCTCCCATCTTGATGGCGCCTTTCGCGTTGCTCCGAGAGAAACTCATTCCAGTGACCATGATGGCCCCCCGCCAGCGGTTGCACACGACTGCGAGGTGCCTATTACAAAGGTACTATAGCTTCAGATTTGTGATCGCGGTGCTGGAGCACACGAAAGCCGCTGCGAAACGTCACCACCCAACGAACTCTACGGAGTACGAAACCCACGTGACCGTGACCACAGTTGGTCGACGCGCTCCTACGCGCTCGTCCCGCGACTTTCAGCGCTCGACGCGACCACCACCTGCGAAACCCCTCTCTCCTTTGCTCCAGTCAAACACGACATACAAAGAAGATAATCACACGAGGAGAAGATGGCGACGCACACGCGCCAGCGGACGATGAAAGAGTTCTTCGCGCCCGCGGCGTTCAACCCTGGCCAGTCGCCGCACGACGCGCCGAGCGCCCAGTATGGCTCCTCACACTCGCGGGCATAGCCCATGACGTGTATCAGTGCTGTTGAGCAGACTAGATAGACAATACGGGCTCGGCTGCTTAATCATCCGCACGCAATACCCGCCCCCGCCCCC